TGCTATTTCAGACTAACTTTTAACCATGCTGAAAGTTCCTCCATTCGAAAAAATTATTTTCTTTCTCTTTCCCTTTTATTGACGAGTTATATAGAAAGATTATTTCATTTTGGTAAGAAAGATGTTATTATATGGCAGAATATGCCTTTTCCTGTCCTAGGAAAGCCTTTAACTAAGGAATTGATGTGATTCTTACTGGACCTTGAACTCTGAAACAGCCCAGGAATTGGCATTTTTAAGTTTTACTTGTTTTTCTTCTGGTGCTTGTCCAATGAATTATGTGCTGAAATGGGACTGTGACTTGAGAGCTGCAGGGGTGTTGGGTATTGGCAGCAGCAGGGGTGAGGACCCCAGGGCAGCCCACAGCGCTCAACTCTAGCACACTAAGGGGTACAAGTAGAAAGATGCAACTGACATTTTTAAAAGGGCAAAAATACTACTCTGCATGTTTCTTTTCTTTTTTTTTTTTTTTTGACATGCAGAGTGGACAATGAGAGAGAGAGAGACAGAGAGAAAGGTCTTCCTTTTGCCATTGGTTCACCCTCCAATGGCTGCCATGGCCAGCGCGCTGCGGCCGGTGCACTGCGCTGATCGGATAGCAGGAGCCAGGTACTTATCCTGGTCTCCCATGGGGTGTAGGGCCCAAGTACTTGGGCCATCCTCCACTGCACTCCCTGGCCACAGCAGAGAGCTGGCCTGGAAAAGGGGCAACCGGGACTGGAACCCGGTGTGCTGGCGCCGCAAGGCGGAAGATTAGCCTAGTGAGCCGCGGCGCGGCACTACTCTGCATGTTTCAATGAGAGTGTGTTTCATCCAGTGTTACTGGTGTTGCTAGAAGTGTGTTTTTATAAGAAACAGAATCTGGAATCTGTTAGTACGTTTATGAGCTATATTTTTAGTTTGTGATCATCTTAATTGTATGCTTAGATTCCCATTGAGACGGGTCCAGAGTTTCAGAGTGTTATTCCATGTGCTGCCTGGTCCCACTCCTTTCTTTGGGATTTGTCACCATCACTATCTTGGGGTCCATCCTCGCATTCATGCCCCTCCTGTATGTATGTTGACACACATGCACACATCCCTATTTAAAGAAGTATTGGGATCCTGGTGTATGCAAACTGACTTGAGTTTGCAGTTTTGTCTGTTTGTATAAATTTGTCACATTTTCTTTCATGATTATCTAGCATCCCATGGTATGAATGTCCCAATCTTTTTAGTCATTGTATTGGGCAACAACTGGGTTGCTTTTCAGTTTTGACCACATCAACCTGTGCTGCCTTTGTACCTACTCCTTGTCTAGAACAGTCTTCATAACATTGAACATTGAGAGGTTGGCATTGGGGGCACAATGGGTTAAGCTGCTGCCTGTGGCACTGACCTCCCAAATGAGCACTACTTCTAGGCCTGGCTGCTCCACTCCAATCCAGCTCTCTGCTAATGGCCTGGGACTGCAGCACAAGACGGCTCAAGTGCTTGGGCCCCTGCACCCACAAGGGAGGTCTAGATGGAGTTGCAGGCTCCTGGCTTCCCATTGTAGCCATCAGGAGGATGAACCAGTGGATGGAAGATCTCTCTGTCTCTCTCTCTCTCTTTCTCTCTCTCTCGCTCAACTCTGCCTCTCAAATAATAAATAAATCCTTAGGAAAAAAAATATTGGGCTGGTGTTGTGGTGTGGTGGATGGAGCTGCTGCCTGCAATGCTTGCATCCCATATGGGTGTCCGCTCATATCCTGGCTGCTCCACTTCCAATCCAGCTCCCTGCTAATGGCTTGGGAAGGCAGAAGATGGCCCAAGTGCTTAGGCCCCTGTACTCATGAGGGAGATCTGGGTGGACCTCCTGACTCCTGGCCTTGGCCTGGCCCAGTCCTGGATATTGCAGCCATTTGAGAAATGAGTGAGCAGATGAAAGATCTCTGTCTCTGTCTCTCTTTCTCTCTCTGTCACTCACTCTGACTTTCAAATAAATCAATATATCTTAGGGGAAAAAAAAAAGGCAAAAAAAACAGCATTGCTGTCAAAGTGCCCTTTTGAGGAGGATGGAGTTGATCACTGGGAACAACTGTAGGTTATTGGACAACATATCTGGTGGTCAGGCTCTCCAGGAATTCTGACTGTGGTATGTAGAGTGAGCATCCAGATTTATTGCTATAATAAATGTCTCAAGATGCTAACTTGAAAGTTGATAACTTATCTGAGTGATCAGTCCCTGGGTGTGTGTTTGTTTAATTTATCTCCAAGTTTATAATCAGACAGTTGTGTTATTACATTATGTTTTTGAGCCTTCAGTTAAATAAATGTATTTTGATTTCTCATTGACTGCCCTTCCCCCACACTCGTCCCCCAATTATAACTGCTGTTACTTTTGCCTGGGCCTCTGTTCTAGTTTGTTAATGTGGCTAACCCTGTGTGCTCTTTCAAGGAGGTGGCATTTGAGCTGCCTGGGAGCTCATGTCTGATGCCTCTGTCCCTCGTGGTGCTTCCGTGCACTCTCACAGCACCTGTCCCTCCCTTGTCTCAGGGTGTTCTGTGGGTTATAGTTCTCGTTCTCTTTCTCTAACTCTCTCTCTACTGTGTGTGCTTGCAGTTTGTGCTTTGAGAACTGGCATTGTCTTCTGGATCATTTCATTCTGGGTCAGGCACAATATGTGTTAAATATATGACTATATATAGGCACTGCCGATGTGGCATAGTGGGTAAAGTTCTGCCTACTGTGTTGACATCCCCTGTGGGCGCCGGTTCAAGTCCTGGCCACTCCACTTCTGATCCGGCTCCCTGCTAATGCACCTGGGAAAGCAGCAGAGGATGGCCCAAGTGCTTGCGCCCCTGCACCCATGTGGGAGACATGGAAGAAGCTCCTGACTCCTGGCTTTGGCATGGCTCAGCCCTGGTCTTTTTTTATTTTTTTTTTAAAGATGTATTTATTTATTGGAAAGTCAGAGTTACACAGAGAGCAAGGAGAGGCAGAGAAAGAGAGAGAGGTCTTCCATCCAATGGTTCACTCCCCAATTGGCAACAACGGCCAGAGCTGTGCTGATCTGAAGCCAGGAGCCAGGAGCGTCTTCCCAGTCTCCCACACGGGTACAGGGGCCCAAGGACTTGGGCCATCATCTGCTGTTTTCCCAGGCCATAGCAGAGAGCTGGATCAGAAGTGGAGAAGCTGGGTCTCGAACTGGTGCCCATAAAGGATGCTGGCACTGCAGGCCAGGGCGTTAACCCGCTGCACCATAGTGCCAGCCCCTTTTTTATTTTTTAATTTTTTAAAAAGATTTATTTATTTATTTGAAAGAGTTACACCGAGAGAAGAGAGGCAGAGAGAGAGAGGTAGCCTCGGTCATTAAAATTATTTGGGGAGTGAACCAGTGTGTGGAAGATCTCTGTCTCTTTGTCTCTCTGTCTCTCTGTAACACTGACTTTCCAAAACACACACACACCCACCCACACACAGTCCAGATACAGTAGTGAGGGTGACTGCAGAGACAGCCTGGGGCTTAAATCCAGGTGAAAGAATTGCTTGAGCTTTATTCAGTGAGTAAGTAAAGGTTTATGCTTAAAAGACGGATAGGACTGCATCTCTAATTTAAAAAATTGTTACAAATGTACAGGATGAAATGGAAAATAGAAAGAAGTCAAAAAACAAATCCGGATATGGTGAGCATGGTCTGGTTTATATCTGCATAATGATAACAGGAAAAGAGAGGAGGCCATGTTTTGGAATGGAATATACCTTGATTGACAGCTGATTGGGTTTAGCAGGAATTCATCCATGTACTCCATTCATTCTTTCACCTAACTTGTGGAACGGCAGCAGTGGTGGGGTGCACAGGGAAAGCAGGAGCCAAGGGTGCAGAGCAGGTTTGGAGAGTCGGTGACCTCTAGAACGGTGGTGCCCGCTGCAGAGGCTGTGAAATACGAAAGGAGAGCGCGGTTTTGTTGGGCGGTCCGGTAGCTTCTGACTCAGACTTTCAGGGGCCAGGGTATATTCAGTGGAATGTTGGTAACAGGAGCTGGTTTTTTAAAATATTTATTTATTTATTTATTTAAAGGCAGACTTACAGAGAGGGAGAGAGAGAGAGAGAGAGAGAGAGAGAGAGAGAGAGAGAGAGAGAAAGGGGTCTTCAATCCGCTGGTTCACTCCCCAGATGGCCACACTGGCTGGAGCTGCGCTGATTCGAAGCCAGGAGCCATATGGGTGCGGGGGCCCAAGGACCTTGGGCCATCTTCCAGTGCTTTCCCAGGCCATTAGCAGGGAGCTGGATCAGAAGTGGAGCCTCTGGGACTCGATCCAGTGCCCATATGGGAATGGGAATCCGGCACTGCAGGAGGCAGCTTTACCTGCTATGCCACAGAGCTGGCCCCAGCAGGAGCTTTTTTGAAATGGATTTTGGTTCCACTCTGTGTGGAGGTGATAGCGAAGCCATAGCAGTGAGGGAAGAAAAAAAAAAAAAAAACTGAAGTAATTAGATTCTGAGGCACTGGAAAGCTAAGTTGATCTGTTTTATGGCCTGGTACAGAAGCTGAGAGTTTCCGGAAGCTCTCCTCCTCCAACAGTAAGGTCAGAAGACACGGAGAAATGAACACTGAATTTGGGTGAGAGGAAAGGGAGGGTGGAAATTGACAAAATGAATGAAGATGAAGGGCCGAATAATTCTTAATTTCTTGCATCTGCCTGTTACTCAGTCCTCTGACTTGGCTTCTGTGACGGTTAATTTTATGTGTCTACTTCCTAGGCTGTTGGTGTCCAGATGTTTGTCAAATACCCTTGTAGATTTGTGCTAGAGGCTTGTTTTGTTCTTGTTTGTTTCTTTTAGATATGATTATCGTTTAAACCCTTAGACTTTGGGTTAAGTTGCGTGGGCCTCATCCAATCAAATCAATGTCTGAAGATAAAAGAGACTGAAGTCCTCCCAAGGCTAGGACATTCTGCCTGCAGCCTGCCTTTGAACTTGAGCTGCACAGTTGGCTCCTCCCTAGAGCTCCAGCCTGCTGACCTGTCCTGCACATTTCAGACTGGCCAGCTCACACAATTGCATGCTGTCTTTCTCTGGATCTATCTGGACCTGTGTCTCTACCTGGGTATTGATAAATACATTGATACTAATACAGATTTCCATGTATCTAAAGCCAAATTTCTGTTTTCCATTTACTGAACTTGTTCTTTAGTGTTTACTTCCAGGCCTGAATCTTTGAGCCCTTTGACAGTTCTTCTAGGCAGTTACCCGATTCTACTCTTGCTCAGTAAGTACCTTGTGCATGTCTCTGTCATTCCATTGTGTTATTGTAATTGTTGGCATGTGTGTCTGTTTCCCCAAACTGATCTTCGAGTGTCCTGCAAACTAGGACTTGATCCTCCTAACTTGTGTAGCTCAGGTACCCAGTCTGCCTGCCAGCTAAGAATTTGTCAGTATTTGTCTACTGGGTAAAAAAGTTCAGCTCTGACCTGACATCTTAGGTGTGATACCAGGGCTGGCACTGTGGCCTAGGGGGTTAAGACACCACCTGCAGTGCTGGCATCCCATGTGACGTGGGTTTGATTCCTGGCTGCTCAGCTTCCAATCCAGATCCTGGCTAATGCACCTGGCAAAGCAGTGGAAGATGGCCCAAATATTTGGGCCCGTACACTCACTTGGGAGACCTGGAAGAAGCTCCTAGCTCCTGTCTATCTCCTGGCTTTGGTCTGGCCCAGCCGTGGCCATTGTGGCTGTTTGGGGAGTGAACCAGTGGATGAAAGATCCTCTCTCTCTTCTCTCCTTCCCTCTCTGTAACTCTGCCTTTCAAATAAAACTAACTTAATAAATAAATCTTTATTGTAAGACCAGGCAAGAAATTAAAAGGAAAAGCACTAAAAGGGATGTAAGTGTGGCCAGAAAGTTCCAGGAGATGGAGGCAAACATATCGTCAACATCGTTTGTACCATGGCCTTGTACCGATGGCAGGTGCGAAATATATTGTGCAATTTAGAACACCTCAGCGAACCATCATCTAATCAGCATTTGTTTGCTTTTCAGTTTTTCAAATATTTATACAGAGTGACTTCACCAGACATTATGACCAGATAGTCAGATTTTAAAATATTTCTTAAAGACATTTTGAAGAAAATATGGAAGCATTAAGAAGGAAAAAGAAATGCTTGTAACTTTATTACAGTTAACTAAGAACAGGTTTGTACAGATCTTCCTAGATTTTTTTTTTAAGATTTATTTATTTATGTGAAAGGTAGAATTATAGGGAGAGAGGAAGAGACAGGGAGATAAAAGTCTTCCATCCACTGGTTCATTCCCCAGGTAGCTGCAATGGCCAGGGCTGGGCCAGGCTGAAACCAGGAGCCTAAATTGGAAGTGGAGCAGCTGAGACTGGAACTGGCACCCTTAGGGTCGCCAGCATTGCAATCAATGGCTTAACCCCACTATACCACAACATAGGCTCCTCCATGAACTTCTTGAAGTACCTTGGTACTTGGCGATTGCTTCCTGAAAATGAATTGTTAGAAGTAGAATTTTTGGGTCACAGAGTACCATTTTTTTTTTAAACAGGCTTTTGCTAAGTGTTAACTGAGTGCCTCCTGAAATATCTTACCAATATCTCTCAATTCCAGTAGTGTCTGAGGTTTATAATGTGTTCTGAAAACAGGTATAGGCAGATGCTTGACTGATTAGTTTTTCTTCCAAGGCAGGTTGTTTTTTCTTAAATTTTGAATATTCTGCATAAGATCTTGTTCAACTTGTTAAGCCTAGTAGAGTTTCTACCAAGATAAATTAGTAGTCACCCCATGCTTGTTTGAACAAAATACTCAAGCATCCAGAATATGAGTAGCCAGTCTTGCAGCATTCGTGAGTGACTCACTTGTTTGTTTGAAATAGGAGCACATGGGAGGAGGGAGGTCAACTGACTCTGAATCTTCTCTAAAGAGACCTTCATATGAGGGTATCCTGTGAGACCAAAGGACCTGACCCTTACCTTGATCTTGTCGTGTTTATTGTCATAAAATTGCAAACTATAACACATCATGCAACTATCTGCTAAAAAACTGTAGCTTTCCAAGGACCAGGATCATACTCTTGAGTTTATACCTTAATATATGTTTGAGAAGAAAAATGTTTTTAAAGATATTTTATCTGAAAGGCAGAGTTCCAGGGCGGGGAGGGAGCGAAAGGATGAGAGAGAGAGAGACTGACCTTCCATCTGGTGATTCACTCTCCAAATGACCACAATGTTCAGGGCTGTACCGGGATGAAGCCAGGACCCTGGAAGTCCATCAGGGTCTCCCAGGTGGGTGGCAGGGGCAAGGCCATTTTCTGCCGCCTTCCCAGGCACATTATCAGGGAGCTGAATCAGAAGTGCAACAGCCAGGACTCAAACCTGTACTCAGATGGGATGCTGGCATTGCAGGCAGCAGCTTAACCCCTCTGCCACAACACTGACCCCTAAGACGAAATGTTAAAAAAAAGTCATAGCCTAAGTTGAATTTTTCTCATATATGTTTTAATTCAACTATACTTGTCATGTTATATAATGGTGATCCAGAACCGTTTTAGAATGGAAACTAATCTATGCAAGCTGTGGTGCTCATTCCTGTTGTTTTATCTTGTGTTTTTGTTGTTGATAAAGGTAAATTTATTTAACATAAAGGAATAGCTTATATTCCAGGAGCTAGGTTTTTAAAAAATAAGTCTATTCTGGGTATAAATTTATTTCTCATTGAAATTATTGGAGGCTCTTTTTTTCCAACTGCATTAATCCATTCTCCGTTTAACTCAGGGACATTATAATATGAGAAATGGAATTTAAGTTGTTGCATGTTCAACTATTTTTATTTTGATGAAATATCTTTAAATAATTGTTGGAATTTGGAAAATCTACCCATAATTTAAAGTAGTTCCCATGGTACCTTTGAATCAAGGGGTCATGAGTACCTCTTGCTTCCTAGTGCCTTTGGTCAGAATTTTCTGTGTTTTAAAGATTTCCAGGGAAGAGCTCCTTCATTGCAAGCATGTTTCTGTGTAATCAAGTCTGAGAGTCTGATTCCTTCAGTGCCCTTTTGGAAGCAGCAAGACACACATTAACCTGAAACTCACTGTGTTCAGATTCAATTGCAGATCACTAGAAATTTAGACATTCCAGCACAGTTTAATTAAGAGATAGAGGTAGTGTGGGGGGAAAAAATGACTGAATGTTTGAAAGACACAGTACGGATCCTAGGGCCACTGCTGCAGAAGAGAGATTCCCCCCAGTGTAGCTCCTGCTGCTACTTGAAGTTGGAACCACTCAGTCAAACCACTGGGACTCAGGATTCTTGGGTTGTGCAGATCTTTTTATTGATGGCAGTGGTTCCCCTGCCCTCCCCAACAGTAAGGGGAGTGTGAGGCCTTGTGGGAAGAAAGGGCTCCACAGGAGTTGTGTGTTTTAGAAAGGGTGTGGTGAGGAGAGCAACACCCCTCTCCTAATTAGCTTATTATGCCAGTTGCCTGACTGAAGATTATGTTCAATTAACGTAATAGGTGAGATGTCATGAAGTGCTTTTCCCACTGGGTCTTTTTCGTAGTTCCTGTGCTCCTCTATCCCCAGCGAGTCTTCTGCTCGGTTTGGGAGTTTCTCTTGACTCCTGGATCCATCACTTGGCAGGAGCCACTGAGTACCACCTCCACTGCCCCTCGGACTTGGAGCTCTGTTTGTTCTCCTTCACAGCTGTGGGGCACAGACGTCCTCAATGCCTTCATACTCTGACTAGCAGCAGAGAGGTGTGATGACGATGTTCGACCAGTGAGATGACCTTAACTATCTCAAGCATATTATGTATGCGTTTGCCACTTCCTTGTCTTGCCCAGGGTGTGCACATGTGGAGTGAGTGGGTGGTCCCGCCCAGGTCCATTTAGCAGGCTGCAGACATAAGAGGTATGGAAACACAGGGGTACAAATGTAAATCTAAAAGAAACAGTTTCAAAGATGTTTTCCTTCCTTCTAGCTCCAAGAAAATTCTTTTGTGAAATTAAGTAAAAGGAGAAGGATTTGAATTGTCTTATGTGTGCACCCAGCAGTCCTACTGAAGGGTGTGATTCAGCCTTAGAAAGGAGACCCTGGTATTTGCAACAATATGGATGAACCTGGGAGACATTGCACCCCGTGAAGTCTGCCAGGTTGGGAGGACAGCTACCACGTGGGATCTCCTATGTGTGGAATTTTAGGAAGCTGACCCTGTAGAAGGTAGAATGGTGGTTACCAGGGGCTGGGGGAAGTGTTGGTCGAAGGGTGCCCAGCTTCCCTTAGGCAGGGTAAGTCCTGGGATCTGATGAACAGCAAGGTACCTATAAAGGAGAATGTATGCAACTTGTTGAGAGAAGACCTTAGGGGTTTTCACCACCTAGGGCAGCTGTGTGGTGATGGATATGTCAACTAGCCTGATTTCCCAGTGTATGACACCCTCCATATTTACAAATTGTATTTGTCCACTATAGGGGCAGGAATTAGAAGGACCTGTACAATTTCATTCATGGACCCTGGTAAAACTCTGTGATAACTGGTGCCTTCACTTCTAGGGAGTGACAGCAGGGAGGGAAGGCGTTTTGCCAAGATAGTTTTATGATTTCCTCCTCAGCCATTCTTTCTCAAACCAGGAACAGGGCAGGAGTCTTCCACAAATCCATGGAAAATATGATTATGAAAAAAATGGCATGAGTTTCAAGATTTGAAAGACTTTTGATTTACTTATTTGAAGGGTGGGGAGGGGAAAGAGGCATACAGACAGAGCTCTCCCATCTGCTGCTTCCCTCCTCAAATGCCTGCAAAAGCCAGGCCTATGTCAGGTTGAAGCCAGGAGCTGGGAACTCAGTCAGGGTCTCCTACATGGGTGGCAGGGATGCAGGGACTTGAGTCTCCACCTGCTGCCTCTGGGGGTGCACGTTAGTGTGAAGCCAGAATCAGAAGCAGAGCTTGGACCTAACCAAGGCACTCTGATGTGCAATGCAGGTATCCCAAGTAGAATCTAAACTACTGTGCCAAGTACTTATCTGTCAAAAATGTTTGACACCTAAGTCAACTTCTTTCAATTCCATTTTCCATGAACTTTTTGAAGTACCCTCGTATGTTCAGGAAATTTTTTTCAACTATCTTAAAACCCATGTTTTAAAACAATTGTTTTCCCACTGAAATGGTTTATAGACTCTTCTGCATTTTAGTGCATTTTTCAGATAGCTCAGGGACGTTCTAGAAACACCGAGCTTTCCCAGAGACAGTGGATCAGCCCCAGTGTTTATCTTTCTCTGCTGTTGTTAGCCGTAAAGGTGAATGCATCCTCTGAGGGATGGGCTTTGAATTTTCTCACATTTGATCACCTTTATTCTTTAAAGAATGCAGCATTGTTGTTACTGCTGGGACTCACTCAGGGAGTGTGCACCCCTTCAAATGCTGGAGCGACAGGCCTCACTGGGTGCAGTGATTTCTGACGTCTTTACCAAGAGGACTGATTGCTCCAGTGTTTGTAATGTCATCCAAGGCTTCTGATAATTTGGTTGTAACACTTTCCTGAAAATTAGAAATGGGTTTCTTAAAAAGGAAAAAAACCACAAACTATAGAAAAGATACTTAAAATGTGAATAAAAACTCATTAATTCCAATTTTAGAAAACCTGATTTTCCAAGAGACTGTAATGTGTCTTGATTTTTCAGGTCCCAGGGGAGAGGCACGTTCCTGTCAAAGATGTTTAGGCCTGAACACAAGGCCTTCTTAGAGCAAGGCATTTGTGAGGGTGATTGCCCAGTTATGCGTGATGAATATGGTCAGCGTGGAAATTCAGCTCCAAGAGCAGAAAAGCGTCTCCTGGGAGTTGAAATATCTGCGTGTGTGTTTTGTGGGGTGGAGGACAATGAACATGTACGAAAGGCATGGTATGTCAGGTTCAAATGAGAGTTGATTATTGCGCTGATAAATGTAGAAGTCGGTAATTAAATCATGGTATGTACGGAAATGTAAGTTTTTTCCTGCTAGTCCTGTTAGGCTAATTCGTGGCGTTGAGAACCTGCCTCAGATTTCTTAATAGAGTTGCCTTAGGTGGCTAATTAGGATGAGCTACCGATGTGATCAGGAAGCATTCCACTGCAAGCGAAGTTGCCGAAAGACTAGAAGAATGGGCGGACGGGCCTCAGGTGGAATGCCTGCACGAACGGCTAACACTCGTCTCCCGTGGACCTGTGTGTTTCAACACATTGCACGCACACAGCTCTCAGCTTTTGTGCCATTTGGGCATTTTTTTTAAGATTTATTTATTTATTTGAAAGTTGGAGTTACACAGGAAGAGAAGGAGAGGCAGAGAGAGAGAGAGAGAGAGGTCGTCCATCTGCTGGTTCACTCTCCAATTGGCCGCAATGGCCAGAGCTGTGCCGATCTGAAGCCAGGAGCCAGGAGCTTCTTCCGGGTCTCCCACGTGGGTGCAGGGGTCTAAGGATTTGGGCCATCTTCTACTGCTTTCCTAGGCCACAGCAGAGAGCTGGATCAGAAGTGGAGCAGCCAGGTCTCGAACCAGCGCCCATATGGGATGCCAGCACTGTAGGCAGTGGCTTTACCTGCTATGCCAGAGCGCTGGACCCTGGGCATGGTTTTATTACCTGGATCCCATTTTCCATCTCCCCACAATATTCTAGATCCTCTTACCGTCTCAGCCACAGGATTAGTGCTGTGTGGTACTAAGAGATGATGTGTCATAGGAATGCTTTCAGTGCTGCAGAAAATCCTTGCATCGGGGAGGGAGACTTTTCTTCTTCCGTTGTCACAGCAGGTCCAGCTACTCCATAATGGCCTTCGGGGCCAGGTCTCTTGGCTTCTCCAGGATTCTTTCTGGGCAATGGGCAGTGGACTTCTTCATCCTGTGGGTTTCTCCTCAGAGTCAAGTTGGATTCTGTATCTCCTGGATTTATTGGAGGCAGAAACAAGAGGAACTAGGGGAGGGCTTTCTCCTAACAGGGTTTCTCTTGACAGGGAGGTGAACTCTTTCTGGTGACTTCTGCCTGCATTGTGTTGTGAGAACTGTATGTGTCCACCACTAGCTATTAGAGTCTTGTGTTTTTATCTGAACCCCTGGCTGCCCTGGAAAGTAGCTGGTGTTGTATTAGAAAGAACAGAATGAGTTCTGGATTGGCAGCTCAGAGTGTGCTGCAGAATGATAATATTATTATTCTGCCAAACTTACTTATCCTGTTGACAGTGCTCATTTAAAATGATAGGACTGCATGTGCCTGTACTTAATTTTTTTAAAAAGATTTATTTATTTGAAAGGTACAGTTACAGAGAGATACAAAGATACACACAGAGAAGCAGAGAGAAGGAGAGAATGAAAGAGGAAAGGTCTTCCATCCACTGGTTCACTCTCCAAATGGCCGCAATAGCTGGGGCTGGGCTAGGCTGAACCCAGGAGCCAGGAGTTTCATCCACATCTCCCACACGGGTGCAGGGGCCCAGGTCCTCGGGCCATCTTTGGCTGCTTCCTTAGCAGAAGGACTGGATTGAAAGTGGAGCAGCAGGGACTGGAACCAATGCCCAGCATTGCAGGCAGTGGCCTAACCTGCTGTGCCAGAACACTGGGACCATTCCTTGTTTATAGCTCTCTCCTAGGTGCCACCAAATCTCAGGCTTTTTTTTTTTCCTTATATCTCCCTCCCTCCTTCCCTTCCTCCCTTCCTCCCTTCCTCCCTTCCTCCATCCCTCCCTCCCTTCCTTCCTTCCTTCCTTCTTTTTTTTCCGATTTATTTTATTTTTTTTTTAAAGAGAGCATTACAGGGAGAGGTAGAGCCCGAGAGAGAGAGAGAGAGAGAGGTCTTCCACCTGCTGGTTCACTCCCCAAATGACCGCAACAGCCAGAGCTGAGCTGACTTGAAGCCAGGGGCCAGGAGCTTCTTCTGGGTCTCCCATGCGGGTGCAGGATCCCAGGCAGTTGGGCCATCTTTTTAATTTTTTGACAGGCAGAGTGGACAGTGAGAGAGACAGAGAGAAAGGTCTTCCTTTTCCGTTAGTTCACCCCTCAATGGCCGCTGCAGCCGGTGTACTGCGGCTGGCACACCACGCTGATCTGAAGCTAGGAGCCAGGTGCCTCTCCTGGTGTCCCATGCGGGTGCAGGGCCCAAGCACTTTGGCCATCCTCCACTGCACTCCCAGGCCACAGCAGAGAACTGGACTGAAAGAGGAGCAACCGGGACAGAATCCAGCACCCCAACCAGGACTAGAACCCAGTGTGCCGGCGCCACAGGAGGAGGATTAGCCTATTGAGCCATGGCACTGGCCTTGGGCCATCTTCTACTGCTTTCCCAGGCCATAGCAGAGAGCTGGACTGGAATTTAAGCGGCCGGACTTGAACTGACGCCCATATGGAATGCCAGTGCTGTAGGCCAGGGCTTTAACCTGCTGTGCCACAGGGTTGGCCCAAGTGATTTATTTCTTTTTATTTGAAAGTCAGAGTTACAGAGAGAGAGGAAGAGACAAAGAGAGAGAGATCTTCCATCTGTTTCTTCACTCCCCAGATGGCTGCAATGGCCAGGCTGGGCTAGGCTAAAGCCAGGAGCTAGGAGCTTCTTCCAGGTCTCCCACATGGGTGCAGGGGTCCAAGCACATGGGCCATCCTCCACTGCTTTCCCAGGTGCATTATCAGGGAGCTGGATTGGAAGCGGAGCAGCCAGGACTTGAACTGGTGCCCATACAGGATGCTGGCATTGCAATCAGCAGCTTTACCTGATACACCAGAATGCCAGGCTGCCAAATCCCAGTTTTCAAAAGGGATACTGGAGATTTGTGGGTATATTGTGGATTTTTATTTATTTACTTTTATAGATTATCTATTTATTTATTTAAGGATTTCATTTATTTATTTGAAAGGCAGAGTTACAAAGAGGGAAGGAGAAAGAAAAAGAGAAATGTTTGTCTGCTGGTTCACTCCCTAGATGGCTGTAATAACCTGAGCCAGACTGAAGTCAGGAGCCAGGAACTTCTTCCAGGTCTCCCATGTGGTTGGCAGGGGCCCAAGCTCCTGGGCCATCCTCCACCGCCTTCCTAGGTGCTTAGCAGGGAGCTGGATCAGAAGTTGAGAAGCCAGGACATAAACTGCCACCCATACAGAATACAGCCAATGGCTTTATCCATTACGCCACAGTGCCAGCCCGGGATTTTTGAAATACATGTGTGTGTGTGTATTTAAATTGATGAGAGTACTCTTCTGTCATGCTGGTTCACTCCCTGGATGCCTCCAGCTGCTGGGGCTGGGTGGGGGCTGGAGCTGGAGCCAGGAGCCAGGAGCCAGGAGCCAGGAGCCAGGAATCCAACACAGGTCTCCCACATGGGTAACAGGAACTCAACTGCTTGAGCCATCGCTGCTGTGTCACAGGGTCTGCACTGGCCAGAAGCTGGAAACAGGAGCGGAGCTGGCTGGAGCACCCAGGCTCTCCAGTGTGGGTCATGGGCATAATAACTAAAGCATTCCCTATAGGAATTTATTGTCTCTAAATAAAATATTGTTAACCTAATAAAAATTTAATCACTAATAGAGAAAGACATCCTTTTTAAAAAGATAAATGATGTCAGAGCTCATAGAGCAGAAATTATAAATGTCCCTTTGCACATCCCTGGACTCATTACATGTGTGCATTCCCCCTCCCCCCCGAGTGGTTGGTTTCTTTTCACATAATTGGAATCACACTCTCTGTTTTGTTCTGCAAGCAGCTGTTTTTTTTTTTCCCTCCCTTGTAACATCTTTTTTTGATTCTTTTCTCTTCAGTACACATAAAATAGTGGTGTTTTTCAATGAAGATATGTCCAGATTACCAACAGCATCCCATTGAAAAAAAATGAAAATACTGGGTCTTTTCAACATTTCCTTAGATAATTAAAAAATGTGATTGTGCCATGACTGCTTCTGCACTGATGGCTAGTCAGTGTCTCTGAACCTATCTGTACATATGCAAGAGTGTAGTATCACCTACTAGTATTGCTGGATCAAGAATATATGTGTTTAAAATGTGCTCTCAAATCACTCTCCAACAGGGCTGCACAAAATTACAGTCCCAGTAACAGTGCACACAACTTCCCCACACCCCTCTCAACACTTGATATTATCAGTTAAAATTTTTTTTCAGCCAGCCTAATGAGAAAAAATAGTCTTGTTTAAATTTCCATTTTCCTGTCCAAAAAGTCCTGTTACAGAGCGCTTTCAATATCAAGATAAATGACTCATTGACTTTGGGAGATAAGCAGTTAGGGTTCATCTGCTCTGGCTCTCCTGTTGCTGTTTCATTCATGTTTCAAAAACAGACTTGTTTATAAAACAGTACCTTTCTGGGGGTGTCTTTTTCATCCTGTCTTCAGGAAATGTCCTTGTATCCTGATTGGCAGGGGTCAGTGTTTTGGAGACCTGTGAGTTTGCTCTGGTATGGAATGGAGGAGCCATGTTTTCCAGCTCATTGCTATCCAGTGAATGGGTTGGTGAAATCAAATTAGGGATCATGCACAGCATAATGAAAGAATGGAAAAAAGGAACAGCGTAGAAAATGTTGGAGAGTATCATATACGAGTATAATAAAGGTAAGATGTGTTTCATGAAACTCCTTTCATAGGATTTTTGTGTGTGTTTTGAATGTGCGTGTTTATATATGTGTATATAAGCATTTATAATGTGTCTGAGGCTGCATCGTGATGTAAAATACATCTCTATGGGTTGAGCAGTGGAGAATGTTAGCTTTAAAAATTGATTACAAGCATAGTTTATTTCTGCCCCCAGGCAGCAGTCTCATACTTGATTTCAGCATTCATACAAAGAAATCGCCAGTCATATCAGTGGCAAGAAAGTTAAAGACTAAGGCTTTTCTGGAAGAGCTTAAGTGCTTAAAGATAGGTGCCACTGCATAGGACCTGGAGATATGACAGGTGTGGCAAACCAAATTGGCTCGTGTGCAGAATGAAAAAATGAAGAACTGCACCCTGATGCATTTCGTTTCACTGAGCAATTTCATTTTTCTGTGCTCTGGTGCATTCACAGCACTTGACTGTCACAGCCATGTGGGCACTCAGGCAAGAGACAGCAGGGGAAATCCTTGAATTTTCACCGATTCTCCCTGTGAGCAGTCCCGGGTACAACTGATCATCCCAGAGTGAGGTTTGCACTCATGGAAAATATTTAGCTCACCTTAGCTCAGTGCTGATCTTTTGTTGCTTAGAAAATTACCTGTTGCTGATTATAATAAATGGTGGTAATTAAAATTAAAAAAAAAAGGGATGGAACATTCTGCATGTGGGTGTATTTAATTATCTGGCAGGTGTTCATATTTCTAGAGCATGAAACTTATGGGTAAACAATGGCCTTTCTGTTAGAAATTCTACCCACACTTTTGTGTTTCTTCTCTTTTATAGTTGGGTATTTTCCATTACCTAGAGAGTAATAGTATGATCTAACTAATTTGTATGGTATTGAGGCTTTCCCAAGTGGTTATGTGTGTGTGTGTGTGTGTGTTTAAGATTTATTTATTTGAAAGGTAGAATTACAGAGAAGGAGATAGAGAGAGAGAAAGAGAGAGAGCGAGCTTCCATTTGCTGCTTCACTCCCCCAATGGCCACAATGGCTGAGGCTGGGCCAGGCCGAAGCCAAGAGCCAGGAGCTTCATCTGGGTCTCCCATATGGGTGCAGGGGCCCAAGGACTTGGGCCATCTTCCACTGCTTTCCCTGCAGCCGGTATCATAGGTGGTGGCTTTACTGGCAAACCCACAGTGCCCACCCCAGTTATAATTTTGTGTTTGTTTTGCTTCAACCAGTACTAACTTCCTTGCTTGAAATATTCAATAATTGCATCTTCATAAAAAATGATATAAATGGTGGCCAGCACTGTGGCGTAGCGAGTAAAGCCGCCACCTGCAGTGCAGCATCCCATATGGGTGCCGGTTCGAGTCCTAGCTGCTCCCACTCCCACCCATGTGGGAGACCCAGAAGAAGCTTTTGGCTCGTGGCTTCAGGTTGGCACAGATCCTATCCTTGAGGCCATCTGGGGAGTGAACCAGCAGGATAGAACACCTCTCTCTGCCTCTGCCTCTCTGTAACCCTGCCTTTCAAAAAATAAATAATAAATCTTTTAAAAAATGATATAAATGAACACAATTTTATTTTCTATAGTTACAAATTATGTTAGAAAAATGGGCTTTAAAGTTCTGTGATACAACTATACATGAATTTCTTTCAAATTTTACAAGCAGTTGATGGTATTTTTTGGCAAACGTAAACACAAAATAGTAAGTATTATTTTGTTGACCAAACAAGATAGAAGTGGAGGTTCTTTATTTTTTATTTCAAAAAATGTGTTTATTTTATTTGTTTGGAAGACAGAAAAGAGAGGCAGACAAAGGCAGAGAGCTTCTATCCAGTGGTTCACTCCCAAGTGCCTGCAACAGTCTGGACTGGGCCAGGTTGAAGCTGGGAGCCAGGAACTCAATTCAAGTCTCCTGTGTGGGTAGCAGGGGCTCAATTACATTAGCTGCCACCTACTGCCACCACTGGTGTGTGTCTGCAGGAAGCTGGAATCAGAAAGCAGAGCCAGCACTCTGATTTTGGCTTCCCAAGTGGTGTCTTAACCACTGCACCAAATGCGCGTTTCTGGAAGTTCTTTAAAGACTGTTTATCACCACATAAAATTATTGAATATTAGGGTTAAACCACCACCTGCGATGCTGGTATCCCATATAGGTGCAATTTCAGGTCCTGGCTGCTTCACTTTCAATATAGCTCCCTGCTAGTGCACCTGGGAAAGCAGAGGAAGATGGCTCAAGTGCTTGGGTTCCTATCATCCTGGCTCCTGAATTCCACCTGGTCCAGCCCCAGCTGTTGCAGCCATTTGGGGAGTAAACCAGTGGATGTATGATCCCTCACTCTTTCTGTCTCTCTCTCTAACTCTGCCTTTCAAATAAATAAATCTTTAAAACAAGTTCTGTGTTTTTAATATGAAACCAAGAAGGACGATATTAAGTATACTTACTGTGCTACATTAAATTTAGGTGAAGCTTTTAAACTCCAAAATAGTTCAGATCATACTGATACAAATATCTATTTGTAGGAAGGCATCTTCTGTCCATCTCAGTGTTTCTTTGGTGGTATCAAAGTATCTGATACCTGTCATGATTCCTGATCTGCATTTCCTTTCAACTTAAAAGTTTGCTAATGTAAGAGCTTTGAGTTCTTTGATGAGGGAGATACTTCTATGTCTTTATTATACAGGCGATCCATCAGATGAGTACATAGATTTGAGAGGTCTTCAAGTGCCTGTAAAATACGGACTATGAAAAGCTACATATGGATGTCAAAAATTTTTGCTCCAAAGTAAAATATTTTTTAAAAAGAAAGATTTATTTACTTGAAAGACAGAGTTAGAGGGAGGAGCCGGTGCTGTGGCCTAGTGGGTGAAGCTGCCGCCTGCAGGGCTGGCATCCCATATGGATGCCAATTCGAGTCCTGGTTGTTCCACTTCCAATCCAGCTCTCTGCTATGGCCTGGGAAAGCAGTAGAAGATGGCCCAAGTCCGTGGGCCCCTTCACCCACGTGGGAGAATCGGAAGAAGCTACTGGCTCCTGGCTTCTGGCTTCGGATCGGCGCATCTGAGGCTGTTGTGGCCAATTGTGGAGTGAACCAGTGGATGGAAGACCTCTCTCTCTCTCTCTGCCTTTCCTTTTCTCTCTGTGTAATTCTGTCAAATAAATAAATCTTAAAAAAAAAAAAAAAGACAGAGTTAGAGGAAGAAAGGGAGGAGAGAGAGAGGGTGAGAGTGTTCCCATCCACTTGTTGATGCACTCTCCAAATGCCTGCAGCACACCAGGAATCATGTAAGTCTCCCATGTGGGTGACAAGCAACCAAAGTACTTGAGCCATCAGCACTGCCTCTCAGAGTCTTCAATAGCAAGAAGCTGGAGTCAAGAGCCAGAGCTAGGGCCGGCACTGTGGTGTAACAGGTAAAGCCACCATCTGCATCACTGACATCCCTTATGGGTGCCGATTTGTGTCCTGGCTGCTCCACTTGCAATCCAGCTCTCTGCTAATGGCCTGGGAAAGCAGTGGAAGATGGCCTAAGTGCTTGGGTCCCTGTCACGCATGTGGGAGAAGCTCCTGGCTTCGGCCTGGCCCAGCCCTGGCTGTTGCAGCCATCTGGGGAGTGAACCAGTGGGTGGGAGATTTCTCTCTCTTTCCCCCCTGCCTCTTTCTCTGTAACTCTTTCAAATAAATAATATAATTTTAAAAAGAACAAAAAGCCAGAGCTGTATATTGAATGCAGATACTCCCATGTGGGGTGCAGATATCCTAACCAGCAACTTAAGTGCTAGGCCAAATGCCCACCCCAACTTACCTTTTAATTCTGTTTTTCCATGAGCTTTTTAAGTGACCATGTGTATTCTCTGGATCCATGGTATCGCCCACTCTGCGCTTTCTCTTCGAAAACATTTTTTCCATTCACATTTTATCTAAAGAAGTTGCATCCAGAAAGGGAAGACAAGGTTGGGTTAGGTGATTTCTGAGTGAGTGTTGAAGTTCCATTGTCTGCTTCAGCTGTTCTATTTTGTTCACTTGTGTCATAACTTAAAATGACATAAATATTAATTAAAACACTTGGCTTGATGAAAGAAGTTCGCATATTGCAAGACAGTCTTATTGATAGATGTTTACAAATGAAAAGCTAATGTCATAACAGTTTCTGCTCCAAAAATCTATTTTGTTATTGTTTTTTATAGGCTCACCCTCTTGGCTTTTTCCTCTAAGATTTACCCTCCCTAAATTGTAATAAGGAAATTAAAAGGAAAGGGGATAGTCAGCATTTAGATTAAACCGAAGAAATGCCAATGGCAGTACTATATATTGAGCTTTTTCCTCTGGTAAGTCATTTCATGGTGTTGGTTGGCGTGTTAAGGCTTAACAAGTGAGTTTTATGGCATGGTATCAAAATATGAGGCAATTTAAAACAATTGGTTACAAATACACTAAATTCACTCTAATCAAGGAAGACCCACACAAAGCCTCCCAGAAATAAAATTCCATGGTACTTTCCAGTGGCTTTACAGAAGGAAATAAGAATCTATGCTATATCTAGCTCCAACTTATGGGAGATCTGTGGAGTCTCAGGTTTCAGAATGGCTTCATTGACTTGAGCTCATAAATGGACTGAGTATGAACTCTGTATAGACTGAAGAAGTTCCCCCGCCTTTCCCAGTGAGAGACTGGAAGCAGCTGGAAGCGCCCCGGGCTAGAGGTCTGAGAGCCGCTCTGGCTATAAAGGTTCAGCCACTGCTGCACTAGTCTTTCCGCTGATTCTGCCCAGGGGTCTGGGGGGTCAGTGAAGTGTCCTGTAGATACTTGCTTGCAATGACCTAGGGTACGGCTCTGCTTGCTCAGCTGCTGGAGGATTATGGGGTGCATAAGAAATATAAGCCTCTGCATGCACTTTTAGCAATAAATAAGCTATAGTTAGAAAACTATAAAGGTCTAGATTTGTATACCACCTCTGTGCAGATGTGCTAGTTTGTTGTTGACTATATTCACCTTACCTTTTGGATTCCCCATCTGTTTCCCCCACCTATTATTTTGCTTTCAAATATTTTGATGAAATTGTTTTTCATTCTTGTCTCTTCCATGTTTCTGAAGGAAATACAGTGTAAGTCCTGAGGATGATCTGTTTTAATGGGAACACCAATAAACACCTCCTCCCAGCATTAATACCATTGAGCAGGCCCCTCTTTCTGAGTGTGAGTTGGGTCTGAGTTTTAACTGATAGAATCAACAGAACTGATCCTGTGCAAGTGTTAGGCTCAACCCTTGAGAAGTCCTAGCAGTTACATTGTAGAAGTCCAGTTACCCAAGTGGAGAGGACCCATGGATGGAGAGATCCTAGGACCATATGGGGGCAGAGCCCGAGGCCTGGCCATCCTGGTATCTTAGTGGAGAGAAGCAGAATTGCCCGACTGGGTCTAGCCTACATTGCAGAATCAGAAGCAAATCGTATTATTTTTAAGCTAGTAAGTTTTGGGTGGTTTGCTATGCAGCTATAGGTCAGACAACACCCCTATATTGAAGTTCATTGATTATATACCTATTTTTTGTTGTTTTTACATGCTAGAAAAGTAAGACATAAATTTTCACTAATCAGCTATTACAGCAGATTTATCCACGTATCATGTACTGATATAGTTACATCAAAAGGGAAGAAAACAGATGAAACAGCCATTGAAGAGACTGTTACAATGAAGCATGAACTATCCCTTCAAGATCTATAAAGCAGCAATGACTTTGAAAATGTTGGCAATAATTTCAAACCACAAAGATGGAAGAGACATGTGTATAAGAACATTATCAATATTATTTTTTGATGGGAAACGTTCTTAAGGTCTTTTTCCTCACATTTTCATTTGATATTTCAAGCAGAGTGTCTTTGCAGGTTGACTGATTACAAATGTTTTCGCCCAGCATACCAGCTTCTAAATCTGTCTGGAAGGTGCTTTCTCCAAAAAGTGAATAAGCATAGGAAATAATTATTCCTCAAAGTACACAAAACTCCCAAGCCAGCTTTTGTTCTATAGACAGATCTGATTCATCAAGAAACATCAAAATAATTGTCACGATTTAAAATTGTAAAAGAAACCCAGGAGCCTTTTGGCTTCAGTCTAAAACTTGCTGTTGCTTTCTTGGCAGAAGGCCTTGTGTTGAATATTTTGTGCTGTACGTTGCTCCATTTTTGTTTTGTTTTGTTTTTGTATTTTTGCCCCTGGGACAGGAAACTGCAGAACAAAATATATTCATTTGGGGAAGCCGTGCTGGTCCTTTTGGGACTCACCAGTTCTGAGTGATTAGTGCAGAAAGGAGAGCCTGGCACTCGGGTGCTGCGCCCTGGTGGATGCAAATGATGAGCTGAGATTTCATTCCTCCATCACAGAGAGTTTGTCAAACTGGGAATCACTATTTTGACACCAGAAGAATAGCATTCACATGAAAGCACCCCACCCCCCATCTCATCATTTATTTCCTTCAGGCCTCAGTATGCTGGGTTTTAATTAAAATTCTTAATGGCCTCAGACATTTTGCATTTGAATACACAGTGTTTTCTCCCTTGGGGATTAATCTCTGTGACTGTGTGCAAGGAATTTTATGTAGAAAACTTTTCTTAGATTGTAAACTCAAGGAGGGCAGAATTAGGCTTTAATTGCTCCTGGCTATAAACCCAGGTATCTAGGACAGAGCCTAGCGTTTTTTAAGTCTGCAGTCACACATTTTTTGAATTAATTTTAATTATTAAATTAAATCAATTAAATTAATTTTGAGTTAATTAACTTTGTTCCTCCCTTTAACCCCCCCCCCCCCCCGAGAATTGTTGATTTTAGGTAAAATTTCAGCCATTCCAGTTGGGCAGATTATGTTCCTGCCTTTCTTTACTTTTTTTTAAATATTTTTTTGAAAAGCAGAGTGACGACAGAGACAAAGAACAATCTCCCATCCATTGGCAGATGGTGTTAGAACCATGTTTTTCTGCTTCGTCCCTGATATTCATTGGTTTATTCTATTCCAACTCCATCAAATATTGTTAAGAGGTTTAAATTCAGGTATCTGCATATGCTAGTCTTTTCAATACATTATTTCTCATTTTCGCAACAGAGCATTTGGAATTAGATATTAAACATGTTTATGTAGCTAATTTTCAGCCAATTTCTTATTAAAAACCTATAACAAGGAATTTATGTCAAAGATTTATGTGGTATGGTAAGAATGTTAAGATGTTTCTGGAGTTACTGAATTGGAAGATGTTTGGATAAAAGAGGTGCTTTTGTATTCCTATAATTTTGTGACGAGAAAATTTCTAGGTTCTTGGGAAATTGTGCTAAGATCCTATGATAACTGTTTATATTGAAATTTTTCTACTGCTAGAAAGAATATAAAGAAATTTTGATTTGGCATTTATCTTTTTTTCTCATATCATCCTCCATATTATTCATTAAAAAATTAGCAAATATTTCTGAGGGTTGTTCCAAAACTTTATGGAAAATAGAATTTAAAATTAAGTTAATTTTAAGAAAATTGAAACCCCTGCATATGAGGGGTCTTTGAATAGTTCGTGAAAACACTGTGCATGAGTTTCAATTTTTTTTTTTTTTTTATTCCATGTCTTGTATCTCTTAATTCCATTTTGTCTTGAGCCTTTTGGAAGTACTCTTGTATTGAGCACTTATTTTATTCCAGGTATCTCTTAAATTCCTGGGGTACCTCAGTGGATAAACTGATCCCAATCTCCCTCTCTAGGGAAGTTTTGCATTCTAGTGTGTAACAACTGGTATTATAGGAGGTTACGAGGTGGGAGGATCTATGGAAAAAAATTAAGCAGAGTAATGCAATTCAAGGAGACAGAGAGAATGGGTTATAATTTGAAATAGGCCGAATGAGCCTCCTAACAGAGGCGACTTTTGAGCAAAGATGGGCGAGGAGGAAGAAGATGCTGGGGGTTGGCAGGGGAAGCTTCCTGGCAGAAAGGGGGCCCTGCGTGCAGAGTAGCCAGGGCTGAGCCCGTGGGCTGCATCCACAGGAGGCTTGGACAGTGTCACGTGGTCCAGACTGCTTCCCACAAGCCTAGCACGTGGGAGCCTTCTTGGAAATGCTGATCATGGCCAGTGCCACAGCTCAATAGGCTAATCCTCCGCCTGTGGCGCTGGCACACCGGATTCTAGTCCCAGTTGGGGCACCGGATTCTGTCCTGGTTGCCCCTCTTCCAGGCCAGCTCTCTGCTGTGGCCCGGGAGCACAGTGGAGGATGGCCCAAGTGCTTGGGCCCTGCACCTGCATGGGAGACCAGGAGAAGCACCTGGCTCCTGGCTTCAGATTAGTGTGGTGAGCCGGCCGCAGCGACCATTGTGGGGGTGAACCAACGGCAAAGGAAGACCTTTCTCTCTGTCTCTCTCCCCTCTCTCTCACTGTCCACTCTGCCTGTCAAAAAAAAAAAAAAAAAGTGCTGATCATGTTTCACTTTGTCATCCTATTATCAAATCCTAAAATAACACCAACAAGAGAAATTATTAGAACCACATAATGAGATGGGGCCCTGAAATATATTTCTTTTGTTCTCTAGGGCTGTAAGAATTTACACAAGTCATGCACTGCCTCAATGACAGGTGAACCGTGGTTCTTAAATTTCTGGTCAGGTCTTAGAGACCTTCTAGATATTTAGCATTCCAGACTATTGACTTTACTTTCAAGGTTAAAGACCATTAAAGGCCAGCACCATGGCTCAATAGGCTAATCCTCTGCCTGCGGTGCCGGCACCTTGCGTTGTAGTCCTGGTCGGGGCACTGGATTCTGTCCTGGTCGCTCCTCTTCCTGTCCAGCTCTCTGCTGTGGCCCAGGAGTGCAGTGGAGGATGGCCCAAGTGCTTGGGCCCTGCACCCCATGGGAGACCAGGAGAAGTACCTGGCTCCTGGCTTCAGATCAGTGTGATGCACCGGCCGCAGCGGCCATTGGGGGTGTGAACCAACAAGAATAAAGGAGCTGGAACAGTGCTAAAATTCCTAACTTTGTGCCTATACATGGCAAGTGCTCCACAAATATTCATTGATTCTGGAACCAGAATTTTAAATCAGAATATACATTTTCATATCTGTGTGCCCACATAGAAAACACATGTCAGGGATCAGCATTGTGGTGCAGTGGGTTAAGTCGTAGTTTGTGACATCCATATCCTATATCAGAGTGCTGGTTAGAGTCTTGGCTGCTCCACTTCAGATCCAGCTCCCTACTAGTGCGCGTGGGAAGACAGTGGAAGATGAACAGAGTACTTGGGCCCCAATCACCCCTGTGGGAGACCTGGCTGGAATTCTCAGGTTCCTGGCTTCAGCCTGGACCAGACCTGGATCAGACCTGGATGTTGCAGCCATTTGAGGAGTGAACCAGTGGATGGAAGACCTCTCTCTGTCACTCTGCCTTTCAAACAAATCTTAAAGAAAAAGAAAACAAAAAGTAAACACATCAATGTTTTAGACAACATGTATTTTATTTATTTGACAGGCACCCATATGGGATGCCAACATTGCAGGCAGTGGCTTAACCCGCTATACCACAATGCCAGCCCCTACATGTTAATTTTTAAGTTAATTTTTTATTAAAATAAGTTTTTTTAATCTCTTCTATTTTGTTTCTTTATCTTCTGGTTCCTACTCTTTTAAAATTAAAATCAGGCTTTGAGATAATTTCAGCATTAATAGCAGCAATACTTGTGTCTGTTTGAAAAGGCTGTTTTGTGTGGTTCATGTCTTTAAGCTTTCAAAAACACACAAAATTTTCAATAAACTGCTTGGTATTTGGGAAGAATTTGCTTCCTTTTGAATATTGTAATTTAAATATAAATGTTTTGGGGGGATTCTTTTGAAGTTTTCTTATTCTACAATATCCTTGTCTAATGGCTCATAAAATGAATTTGAGGAACAAGTTCTGTTTAGAGGAAAGAGATACAATTATTATACAGCCAACATTCTTCTCATGATATAGTGTATTTTGAAGGTACTGGAACTACTTACCTTTTACTGAAATTATAAATCCTTTGATTTTGTTAAAGTGATTTCTAATTATACCAGAATTTTAATGATCGGGATGTGCTTATTTAGGGCATACCATATGAGAAAGGTTATCTAAGTGCTAATATAGTAGTTTTTAAACATATGCAAATGAGTATGAGTTTGAATATTTGCCTGACCAGTTTTAAATATTTAAGATTGTTAAAGAATTCTATGACTCAGTTTCCCCAATTTAAAAAATAGTGGTTATGTGTTGTTATAGTTTCCAAAACTCATGGGTTGGGGCAGATTAAACAACTGCCTAGGACTCCCACATCCTGTTTCAGAGTACCAAGGATTGAGTTTTGCTTCTGCTTCTTTTTTTTTTTTTTTAAGATTTATTTATTTATTTGAAAGTCAGAGCTACACAGAGAGAGGAGAGACAGAGAGAGAGAGAGAGAGAGGTCCTCCATCCACTGGTTCACTCCCCAATTAACTGCAACAGCCAGAGCTGTGCCAACCTGAAGCCAGGAGCCAGGAGCTTCCTCCGGGTCTCCCACAGGAGCGCAGGGACCCAAGGACTTGGGCCATCCCCTACTGCTTTCCCAGGCCATACCAGAGAGCTGGATCAGAAGTGGAACAGCTGGGACTCGAACCAGCACCCATATGGGATGCTGGCCCTGCAGGCAGCAGCGCCACCCAATACACCGCAGCGCCGGCCCCTTGCCTCTGCTTCGAATCCAGCTTCTTGCTAATGTGCCTGGGAGGCAGTAGATGATACCCCAAGTACTTGGGCTCCTGCCATCCATGAAGGAGCCCTGGATGGGCTTCATGGTTTTAGCCTGGCCCAGCAGGCATTTGTGGACTGAACCTGTGGATGGAAGATCTTTCTGTCTGTCACAACACTTTTCAAATAAGTAAATAAAACTTGAAAATAAAATAAACACAGCCCATAGATTGCACACCGCCAAAGGTGAAGCCTGCTGTGAACTCTGGACTCTGGGGTGGTGATGCTGTGTGAATGTGGGTGCATTGCTTATGAGAAGTACACCTGTGGTGGAAAGGTTGATAGGTGAGACTGCATGCCGAGGGATATATGAAGGGAGTTCAAACAGTTTGTGGAAAAATGGAATTAAATGATGTTTATTTTGGTGCCAAAAAGTATTTTGAAATCCCTTCATCTTTTTTTTTTTAATAACATACCATTTTCCATGAACTTGTTGAAAAACTTGTGTGTGTGTGTGTTGGGATATAAGGGAGTTTCTGTCCCCCTCAGAACCTACTCAAAAAAAAAGTCTTTCAATGCAAATAGATCTAATGATACCTACACCTGCAGAAAACTGGGGTTGGAGGCCCCGGCCCAGTGCTGGACACATGGCGGGTCCTCAGTAAATGGTAGCTAAAAAAAATCATCTCCTTTCTTCACTTTTTTGTCTTGATTCCTTTTCATCTTTGAGACGTCTTCTACCTGATCTTTTAAGCTCACCTACCCCTGCCCTATTCCTCAACCTTTTGAAAATAAGCACTTAAGTGTTTGATGAGTACATTTATGAAGCAGATCCAATATTTAAAGAAATCTTAAGAGTAAAGTACTTGGGGGAATGATTGCCCTTTAATTATAGTGTCTCTCTTTGAACTCTTGAGTTTCCTTTTTATTATCTTTCCCCCTCAGCGACCCACAGCCCCTGTCTCCTGGTGCCTGGGGTGACTGTCATATAGCCTCCTGTTGGGTCTCCCTGTTAATCACCATCTCCCTTTCTCACTCCCCTCCCCTCTTCTATTCCAGTCTCTGTGTTGCCAGACTGAATTTTCAAAAACCCTACACTCTACCCCTTTTATCTTCCTGAAACTGCCATTGCCTCTCCGTCCCCATGCTTGAACTCCTTTGCCTGAATGCCGGGGGTCCTACAGTCAGTGTGGTTTTCTGTGCTTCCTGAAGCAGCCAGTGGAGACGGCCTCTAGCCCTGTATTCAAGGAGTCTTCTACACGTTCATGGAAAATGGGTGTGGTGATGAGGGTATGCATGGATTTCAGCTCTGTTTTGCACCTATATAAATGTTCTTTTGGTTCCGATTTCCCACAGACTTTGTAAGGGGCTCTCACCTTTCAGCTGGGTTCCTTACCTGGTGATTTCTTGGGTGTGCTGTTGCTTCTATGTAGGTTACTCTTCCTCCTCTTCTCTCTCTCAACTCAAGCCCTTTGTGTGAGAATGTGTTCACCTTCTACATCCTTCCCAGGGTCTTTTTTGTTTGTTTGTTTGTTTGTTTTGACTCAGTTCTGTGGGTATTTTTTTTTCTACTCTCCATGTATAAAATAGTAAATTATAGAATGTACTTATAAAATATTAAGTGCTCATTTTAGTCTGACATGGAAGAGAAATATAAATTCTTAGAATTAGGTAGTTGGCCAGCACCACAGCTCACTAGGCTAATCCTCTGCCTGCGGTGCTGGCACCTGGGTTTTAGTCCCGGTTGGGGCACCAGATTCTGTTCCGGTTGCTCCTCTTCCAGTCCAGCTCTCTGCTATGGCCTGGGGAAGGCAGTGGAGGATGGCCCAAGTGCTTGGGCCCTGCACCCACATGGGAGACCAGGAGGAAGCACCTGGCTTCTGTTCGGCACAGCACGCCGGCTGCAGCGCGCCAGCCGTAGTGGCCATTTAGGGGTGAACCAACGGAAAAGGAAGACCTTTCTCTATGTCTCTTTTTTTCAGGGTCTAACTCTGCCTGTCCAAAAAAAAAAAAAAAAAAAAAACGGAATTAGGTACATTAGGTACTTTATAGCAGAGTCTAGCCACAGGCTGGCAGCTCAACACACATTTGAATGGTTCTCTAAACTCCTAGTTAAAAAAATTGGTTAGATTTGGGAGTATAATATAGTGTAGTTTATATGGGAATATTGAACTAGGTGTCAATTGGACAGACTATTTAAAAAACTACATTTAGAATTAATGTAAAACTTGATATCTTGTATGTTTGCATTCTTCTTATAGTCTGAAGTTTCTTTGAGAATGTGGAATTTGTTACTGCTTCAGATTTTTATAGGTTGATGGGGAAAAGGACAAATTTTTAAAAGATAATAGTTTTTGAACTAGTATAAGCAGTTTGCCCTTCCTCCCTCCCTCCTTCCCTCCCTCCCTCCCTCTTTTCTTCCCTCCCTCCTTCCTTCCCTCCTTCATTCTTTCCTCCCTTCTTCCAATATTTTATTTATTCGGAAGGCAGAGTTACAGAGAGAGAGAGAGAGATTCCATTTGCTGGTTCACTCTCTAAATGGCCACAACATCTTAGAACTCAATCTCAGTCTCTCATGTGGGTGCCAAGGGCCCAAACACTTGGGCCATCTTCCACTGTTTTCCCAGGTGCATTAACCAGGAGCTGGGTCAGAAGTGTAGCAGCTGGGACTCCAGCTGTCACTCAGATGGGATGCCGGCATAACGCTAGCCCCCAAAGGAAATATTTCTTAAGTGTTTTGCAAGTACTTTGGATTTCTCCAATACAAAAGTGAAGAAAGAAAAGAAAAGGTGGGGTGAGGGGAGGGAGGAAGAAATAGAAAACTGCACGTTGTCAGGTAATGTGGTTTCTCCTTGTTCATGTTCATGACTTTGTCCAGTACCTGGTGCTTGGTATTTGTCCAATGAACTTGTTTTTTGCTTTTTAAAATTACTTTTACTGAGTTATACTTTACAAAAAAACACCCCAAAGTATGCAGATCTTACTATACAATTTGACCAGTTTTTAGAAATGAGTATTCACAAATGACCCAGATCTAAATTAAGGCATGGAGTAGCATGATCCTCCACGTTTCCCCAAGTTCCCCCGAGCCCTTTCCCGGCAAACATGCTCCCTCCACCCTGGGAGGCACTGGCTGTTCTGACTTCTGTCATCACCTGTTGATTTTGAACTTCGTGTGCTTGGAACCATTGTGTACAGGCTCACTTATGTTTGGCTTCTTTCACTCAGGGTAGAATCTGGGAGATTCATCTATGTTGTTGATGCGCCAGTGCTAAATAGAGCTTTACTGTCTGAACACCCCCGAATTTGCCTTTGCTTTCTCCTGTTGATGGCCATTTGGGTTACTTCCAATTTTAGGTTATTATTAATAAAGTTATCATTAACCATTGTGTACAAACCTTGGGGTAAACATGATGTTTTCTTTTTTTGTAAATACCTACGAGTGGAATTATTGGGTCAAAGGATCAGAATGTTTTCTTTTTAATTTAATCTTTTGTTATGTGTGAAGTTATATCTCATTATGGTTTGAACTTTTATTTCCCTGATGTTGAGTTCCTTTTCATCTGCTTACTGCCCATTTATATGTATCCTTCAGGGAAGCGTCTGTTCAAGCCTTCTGCCCATTTTTATGGAGGTGTCTTTTTTATTGAGTGATAAGAGTTCCTTATACATAAGTCTTTTGTCTGCTGTGTGATTGGGTGTATTAATTCATAGTGGCTTTTCATTCTTGGGGAGCCCAGAAGCAGTAACTCAAGGGAGTTGCTGTTTCACACATTATTCCTTTATAGGACTGTATAAGTGTGGCGAGTTGGGAAGGGCAGAAGATGGAGGGCAAGCAGCAAGAGAGAATTTCTATCATTGTTCTTCCCTGCTGTCTTCTAAGAAATATTTTTTCCTTTCCAAAAGGCTCTCACTCATGGGTTCCCAGAAGACCCAGAAGACTTTGGTCTGTGTCTTGTTTACAAGAACTAGGTTACTTGTCTATATCCACAGTTGCAAGGGAGGCTAAAAAGTCTCTCTCTCTCTCTCTCTCTCTCTCTCTTCTTCTTCTTCTTCTTCCTCTTCCTCTTCCTCTTCCTCTTCCTCTCTCTCTAAGAAAAGTAAAGTCTTTATGGTTGTAGGTAGATGGATGAGAGTGGGGTTAAGAATGCTTGAGCCTACTGATAGCCAGACAAGGTCAGAGTGTCTTGGGAGAAAAAACATACCAGGCTCAGCATTGCCTGTTCAGGGAACTGGTGTCATTTTGAGGGGAAAAATGAATCTGTTGCCTGAAGGATCTTTGCGGGTATCTATTTGAATGTGTTGGTAGCCAACAGGCAGAACATCTGAGCTGGGACTTTGATTTGGATGTACCAGTGAGTAGATGGTGCCTGGAACTTTGGTGATTGAGATTGCTCAGTGATAGTTTATAAAATATGAAGAAGGCAGAATTCTGGCCCTGGGGAAAACGTGATATGCAGAGGAAATTGATTTCCCAAATAGGGAACTACAGTGTCTATGTAGGATGGGGACGACCACCAGAAGAGTAGAGATAGTGTTGATTTCAGGAATTTCAGAAAGCAGAGACTGGTGACTGGGGTGCAGAGTCCTACAGAAGCCATTGCTAAGATGTCAGTCATAGCCACTTGAATTTGGCAGTTAGGATGATATTATGAATCTTCTCAGATAGCTATTTGGAGTAGAGGGAGTAGAAGCCAAATTACTGTCCCTTGACCGGAAATCTGAGGTGGTGAATGTAGTGATAATGGATGAGAGTACAGAGGTTCCCCTAATCCATGATTTAACTTTCCTTGCTTTCAGTTAGCCACAGTTGACCACAGTCTGAAAACATTAGACAGAAAAGTTCAGAAAGAAGCAATTCCTAAGAATTAAATTGCATGTTCTGAGTAGTGTGATGAGATCTGACTCCATCTAAACCCTGGACGTGAATCATCCCATTGTCCAGCATATCTGCACCATGTATGTCAGCCACCTGCTAGTCACTTGGTAGTCAGCTGAGTTATCAGATCTACTGGTGTGGTATGGCAGTGCTTATGTTTTAGTAAGCTTTAAGTAGGGCTCTAACGCTGAGTCCCAATGCCTGTGTCATTCAACTCCATCTCATCGTGCAGGTGTTGAATCGTTTCACATCATCACTAGAAGTAGGTGAATAGAGTCCAATAAGATATTTTGAGATAGAGATCACATTCACATAACTTCTTTATATTGTTATAATTGTTCTAGTGTACTGTTGCTATTCTCTTACTGTGCCTAATTTATGAATTAAACATACGTATCATAAGTTTGTGCTTATAGGAAAAAAAGCATGGCATATCTAGCATTAGGAGCCCTATTTGTGATTTCAGTCTCCCCCTGAAGTCTTAGAACACATCTGACCCAAATAAGGAGGGACTATTGTACTTTACTAAGAAGTTTATCAATTACTTCATTAATTTTTTTCCTATGTTGGAAAACCATTGAAATAGCTATAGAAACTGAAGATAGAGGAGAGAGAAAGGAGTTATCTTTTTTAATACAGAGTAGGAAGGGGCTCCCGTCTTAACAGACCAGAGGAATTTAGCAAAGAATAAGGGACACTTTATCCTGAAGGGTGGAGGAAAGGACGGGTACAGTATTTGTGAGGCAAGGTAGTGTTGAGTGGAGGGCAGGTCTGTCTGGAAGCGGAAGAGAGTCTCTTGTCTGCCACTATTTTCTTTTAGCTGATAGGGGCTGAGATCCATTGGCTTTGAGATGGGAGAACTGTTCTGTCTTCCTTGGCTCTTTTTAACTCTACTTTTATCAGGATACAATATTTTGGAAACATTACTTACCAGTTAGGAAAACAGCACCTGTTGATGTCAGTAAAGCTGACAGTTTGTTTATGTTTAGTGCATTCAGTCTGATAATGTGTCAGCCTGTGTGCTCCGATGGGTTCAAGATCAAAGGTGACTGAGGTTTGATCAGCTGGAACATTTTTGGCGTGGAGAAGGAGAGAGAGCGAGCGAGCCCAAGAGTGTGTGTTTGTGTTTGTGTGTGTGTGTGTGTGTGTGTGTGTGTAGAAAGAGAGAGAGAGTGCACAATCCCAACTCAACTGCTGGTCAGGTCCTCAATGTCCACAGTGTTCTGGGAGCTGGGACCTCAATCCAGGTCTCCCACATGGATGGCAGAAACCCAACTACTTGAGCCACAACTGCTGCCTCCCACAGTGTGCACCTGCAGGAAGCTGAAATCAGGAGCAAGAGCCCAGTATTAAACCCAGACAGTCTCATGTGAACCAGCAGCTTAGCCTTTGGGCCAAATGCCTAGCCCTAATAAGTGTTTTAACATGCTTACTACATGCTAGGCATTTTGATAGGTGCTGTGCAAATATTAAGAAGTTAAAGAAAAAGTTTGATGCCTAACTTTGAAAGTCGGGATGCTAGGTTCTTGTCGCTTACAGCTCTGCCACTCTGTAATGTAAGGGAACTTCTGGCCTTAAGGTTTCCTCGAGAGCATCAAGATGCAGGAGGATCTGGAAAAAAAGAATAGATGCATGGTATACACAATAACAGCAGTGGAGGAAGGTTGCAAATATGCGTAGTGCTTCAGCACTTTACATGGTAACACAGGAAGCTGTAAGAAAGGGTTATTTGCAGTTACCCCTGAGGGGATACTCTGTGTAGTCTGAGTCTTACTGATGAGAATTTCCAAGTCCCACTAGAATTCTATCAGGTATTTATGATGAAAGAGAGCATTCCAGATCCAAAACTGAACTCCTTCCAAAATGTCACTGAGTTTTTAAGGAGAATAGCTTAAATATAAGGAAAGAGTGTTGTCTACATCAGTGTTTTACTTCAGTTCATGAGTAAAAGTGGTTATATGGGCATCTTCTATTTTGTGATGAATGAGATAGATTTTAATGCCAAATTCTCAAGTTTTAAAATATATCTTATCCTGAGGATATTTTAAGGGGATATCCATAATTTCTCCCAAGAGTAGGTGGAGACAAGAAGTAATTTGACAGAACTTCCAGATGGCCATTGAAAAATAAATTGCCTTCGAGTTCTTGATTATTAACCCCATGCTTTTTGTTGTATCTCCAGAGCAATCCAGTCATTCTGCCGTAAGGACGAATGTGCTGGAGCCCAGATTTAACTTTCTGAAAACAGATGGTGCAAAAGAAGAAGAGAAGTCTTTTAGCCTTCTCCTATGGGCAGAGCCCAAACTTATTTATTCCCATCCAAAGGCAGTTTCTCTCTGTTTTGGCCTGACTTCTGGGAGCCCAGAACTCTTAAAAGATGTTTTCTTGAAAATAGTGAACTCTTTTCTTGTGTGTCCCAGGGCACTTGGCTGGGGTTCCCGTATTCTGGCTGCTTGCACTCATTAATATTCAACTTGATCCAAAGTGGCCGAGAAGACAGCAAAGGGGCTGGAAGTTGGGGCCAGGAAAGATCCTTCCAGGCTAAAAGGAAAGATGCAAATGTCCCCAGGAATAGTGTGACCAGGTTTCATTTTCTCAACTCACTTGAATACTTAAAGCTTTCTACTGCTTTAAATAGAAAGTTTTTTTTTTTTCTCTTTTTCTTTTGATGTAGATTCAATTAGGATTTAGCTGCCCTGACTCCTTGACAGTAAGTATGCTTTTTTGGTTGCTGAAAGTGAAGTGATGAATCAAACTAAGATAAGCCCTGCATCTCTCTTATTTACAGAGATTGACAAATGTGAAGTTGTTTTAACAACTGCTGTCAGCAATGTGGCTGAAATGAAATTGATTATACAAATGAAAAGTGTCATGACTTCCGAATGAAATTTTTCCTTTTTAGCACATTGAACAACATGTTTATGTATTCATCTGAGGATATAATTATTTCTTTCCAGGATGATTTTGAAAACAATAATCAACATATGCAGTTTGCAGGGCTTTACGGTGTGCAGTCTTTTAGTAGAAACTTTGATTTGTTTGCTTTTGGGAGAATGTGATTGTATTCTACTGAAGAAAATCTGGAGAGTAGCTAACGAGTGTTCAGTGCTTCTCTACCTTTACTACTTTATGAAGTTTGTTTTTATCAAAATCCATTTCTAATTACCATCTGTTTACATATTAAGGTTTGAGGCTGCAGATCCTGTTGGAAGAAAATCCTGTTCTACAAATGCTTTCGTCACACTTGTCACCACAATTAACTCTGTGCATTAAAAGTATTTTGGCAGTTGCTTCTCTTTACACTTCAAAAAGTTCATGGAAAACATTATTTAATTTAATTAATTAATTTATTTAAGAGGCAGAGTTGCAGACAGAGAAAGAGAAAGAGAGAAAAAAGTCTTCCATCTGCTGGTTCACTCCCCAAATGTCCACAGTGGCCAGAGCTGGGCCTATCTAAAGCCAAGGGCCAGGAGCTTCTGCTGGGTCTTCCATGCGGGTGCAGAGACCCAGCACTTGGGCCATCTTCCACTGCTTTCCCAGGCCATAGCAGAGAGCTTGATTGGAAGTAGAGCAGCCGGGACTTGAACTGGCACCCATATGGTATGCTGGTGCCGCAGACGGAGGCTTAGCGTACTGTGCCAAGGTGCCGGCCCCCACAGATATTTTTAAATTCCATTTTCCATGAACTTTTTAAAATCCCCTTGTAGTATTGATATAAAATTACTGAAAGTAAATACATTTGGTACTTTCAAGTCATCATGGGATCTGACCTTCAAAGAAACAATTAGTGCTGGCAATTTCTTGCTCCTTCTAGGTTTAGTTGTCATGCATAGCTTCTTGGCTGGGTTGATGGAAACAGATAGCTCCTGCATGGAGGCTGACTATTCTGTCACCTCAGCAAGGGAATAGTCTTACATGTGCAGTGGTGGGGCTTCTTGAGGTTCTTCGAGTTGGGCACTTTCTTTGAGGTAGCTACCAGGGAGCTCAGCTGTGCTTCCTCATTGAGGTTCTGCCCGTGTCTCTCCGAGGTTGATGGCAATGTTGGAAGTAGTGGCACTGAGTGGTGACATGGCCAGGATTTTCTTCTTACTCTTGTCAGGGTTTTGATAAAAATACTGAGTTTATTTAGCATTCATTCATCCCACAATTTTATTAAGAGCTGAGTTATGTGCTGAGGGTAACAATTTTGTGGAGTTTTTCATAATAGTTTCTGCTAACCAGTGTGGCTTTTTAAATGACTTATTGTCTTCATCAGTGGCTACCATGGGAAGAGAAATGGAGGAATTTTTTTTTTTTAAATCTTTTTCTGTATTTGAAAGAGAAGGAGGAGAGAGAGTTTCCCCCATCTGCTGAGTCACTCCCCAGATACCCACAATAACCAGGGCGGGGGCAGCTTGGAGCTTGGAGCTGGGAGCTCAGTCTGGGTGGCCGAGATCCAGCTCCTTGAGCCCCCACCAGTGGCCTCCCAGAATGTGCAGCAGGAGAAAGCTAGAGTTGGGGGTGCAGCAGGACTCCAGTGCCGGCAGTCCGATATAGGATCTAGGTGTCCCAAGTACTGACTTCACGCTGCACCAAACACCTACTGCAAATGGATTGAGTTGATAAATTAATTTTTCTTTTAGTCTATTTATACATCTTGTACATTTTAATATTTTAATCTATATGTCATATAATATTAATCATGGTAAATGTACCCATCTTCTCATTTAACATTTTTTATGATGAAAACATTGAAAATCCTAACAGTTTTTGTTAATAGAGAAAAGCTCAGTACATTAATATCTGTAGTCACCCTACTGTGCAATAGCAGCCCAGAGCCTCCTACTGGTCCTGTGACTTAGTACCTCTTCACCAGCCTTTCTCCTTCCCACACTTCCTGCTAAATGAATTTCTTGTCTGGCATGCTATGATATATTCTGAGCACTGAGAATTCAGAATTTTTTCTTCCTTGATGATTGGTTTATATGTGTCTATGTATGAATGATGCTTTGTCCTAATGTAAATTCAACTCTACTAGTAGTTAAACTAGTACCATATTAATAGTCTAAGGTGTTATAAAATGGGCTATATTGATCTAGCTTACTGTTATCACTGCTGTTGAAAAATGTCTATCTTGGTGCTGGTGTTATGGTGCAACAAGTTAAGCCACAGCCTGTGAGCTAGCATCCATATGAGCACCAATCCAGCTCCCTGCTAATGTGCCTGGGAGAGCAGCAGAAGAGGGCCCAAGTCCTTGGGCCCCTACTGCCCACTTGGGAGACCCAGAACAAGCTCCAGGCTCCTGGCTTTGGTCTGGCCCTACCTTGGCCATTGAAGTCATTTGGGGAGTAAATTAGCAGGTGGAAGATCTCTCTCCTTATCTCTGTTCTCCCTCTCCCCATAACTCTGCCTTTCCAATAAACAAATAATTCTTAATCTGTATATCTATAATTTCTATATGCCTCGTATGGAAACATCTAGAGGAAGCAAACAGGCAGAGGAGGTTTTGTATTCCATCCCTACCTACTGTTCATCTACAAGGGAGAATAGAGTCATGAATATTCTATGTAGTAATACTGTTGGGCTATTTGAAATACTTTTTATATATTAACTTTATCACTAAAATACAGGCCCAAAGAGATAATTTTCTTAATTATGGTAATCTCTAGAAATGGACAAATTGCACTTGGGATAGCTTGAGAACTGCATGTGTAGATGTAGAATTTTAGTCCTATTCCTCTTTGGAGCAGGTTTGACATTAGCTTGGCCTTTTTGCAGAGAGTGATGTTACATAGAAAGATGGTTTCTCATCAACATCTCATTAATCCTCATACTTGCATTGCCCTTGGGGGAAAAAATGACAAGGTTCCAAGTTTCTCTGTGCGGAAAGTAGGAAGTAAGCCTGACATGGTTGTGCGTATTTTATGTGCAGCAGAATTTTATTCTTTCAGTAAGATTGTGTATGTGATATACAATTATGTTTTTGTTCAGCTTCAATTGATTATTGGCAGTGATTGTTACGATCAAAAAATGTTTCTCTGGTTATGTAAATAATTTTTTGCTAATGCTGAAAGTTTGGAAGGGACAGGATCTTACCACATGGCATTGAGCCCTCAGTTCCTGATGGATCCAAAGGGTGTTTTTAATTTTTAGTACTTAAAGCCTGGCCTTCAGAGAGAAAAGTCAGGTGTGTGTGATGAGTTCTCAAGATTTATGGACTATGCAATCAGCCCATCTCCCGGTGTCAACTGGGAGAAAATGACTGGCTATTTTAAGATTGTGCCTTTGAAAAGCAGAGAGTCCTACGTTCACACCCAACTGAAAGAGTGGGTTCCCGAAGGGAAGTGAAAGTTTTAAGAATTCAGTGGACGGATGAGGAAGGGCCGAATGGTTATTTCCAGATGTTCCTCCCCCAGATCAGCATTGATTTGTTGGCTAGGAAGTCAGATGGGATTATTTGGCCACCTGAGTGCCAAGGATCATTTGAGCAATTAAAACCAGACTGTCCAGAGACAGCCCCCTGCCTGGTGTGGATTCTGACAACGGATTGCTCTACCCCTGGGCCAATGCTGAAGGCAGGAGAGGAGCCCTCCTCAGCAGTACTTCTCCACTGAGAAAAGCCTTGGTTCAGCAGATGTTTCTGAGTTGACCCTGTGTTCTTCACAGCACGGCCTTGTTAACTCTCCCAGAACGTAACAGGGACAGAAAGGGACTCCTGTTCCCGGGGAGTTTACTGTCCGTCACAGACATCGTGGGGCGTGGTGGAAAGTTCTAGAGGGAAGTGTGGGGAGGACCTGAGCTCTGGAGAAGAAGTGTCCAGCCAGCCTCAGATGCAGAAATTTATCCGTTCACTCAGTTGGCTCTTTACTGCATGCCTCCCTGGAAAAAGTTCAGGAAAAACCTCTACGTTCAAGTGGTAAAGAGAGGGTACAGGGGTTTCAGAAATCTGGTTCTGATGAGTCTTCTGCCAAGGACCTGCTGTGGTGTTTGCAAACATCCCTTCTGCTGCCATTCTCGGGAAATAGGAACTTCCTCCATTCCTTCATTTGCATGGGGAAGACATGTTAGACAGGATTCAGCTTTACTTACTCCAGGTGGGAGAAATGTGAGAAGGAGGGCATTCCTGAGCAGGCAGAGGCAGAGTGACTCGAGTGTCACTCAGCGCAGGGTTTCTGAGTGACATTAATTGGGAAAAATGGGACACCCATTGTCCTGCCGTGACACCGCATGCTTTCCCTGTGTAGTGTAATTCCATCCGCTCTGGACAGGTACAACCCTCAGCTCTCGAGTGCCAGGCAGAGTCCCAGACTCAGCAGGGCTCTTCAAAGAGTTTATGGAAATGGTATTTTGTGAAAAAACTATGCGTGGATTTCAAAAAAAAATTTTTTTACAGCCAATGTAAACTTGATCCTTTTAAAAAAGCTTATTTATCAGGGCAGCTTTGTGGTGCAGTGGATTAAGCTGCCGCCTGTGACACTGGCATCCTAGCCAGAGTCCTGACTACTGTTTCCAATCCAGCTCCCTGCCAACGTATGAGGGAAGGCGGTGGAGGATGGCCCAGGTGCTCGGGTTCCTGCCACGCATGTGGGAAACCTGGATGAAGCTCCTGATTTCTGCCTTTGGCCTGACCCAGCCCTGGCTAATTGAGGCCATTTGGGGAGTGAACCAGTGGATGGAAGATCTTTCTCTCCTGCTCCCTCCCTTCCCTCCTCCCCCATCACTCTACCTTTCAAATAAATACATCTTTTTTTTTTTTAATTATTTTATTTATTTATTTGAGAGGTAGAGTTAAAGAGAGAGGGAGAGATGGAGAGAAATGTCTTCCATCTGCTTGCTGGTTCACTCCCCAAATGGCCACAATGGCTTGAGCTGGATTGATCTAAATCCAGGAGCCAGGAGCTTCTTTTGGGTCTGCTACATGGGTGCAGGGGCCCAAGCATTTGGGCCATCCTCCACTGCTTTCCCAGGCCATAGCAGAGAGCTGGATTAGAAGAGGAACAGCTGGGATATGAACCAGTGTCCGTATGGGATGCCTGCACTGCAGGCAGAGGCTTAGCCCACTATGCCACGTCGCCAGCCCCAATAAATCTTTTAAGAAAAGTTTATTTACTTGAAAGTTACACTGACAGAGAGATCATCCCTCATGGAGACTCGTGCTAATAACAATGTATTGCATACTCGAAAATCACCAAGAAAGTACATTTTAAATGTTTTCACTACAAAAAAAGAAGTGAGGTAATGGATATATAATGGATATGTTAATTGGATATGTAGTGGATATGTTAATGAGGTTGCCATATTCAAACCATATTGCATACGTGTGTCAGCACAACATGCTCGCACCATCCACATTCACACACAATTTTTATTTGTCATTTACATAAGTGAATAAACAGAAAGCCAGGCAGGTACTGTCAAGGCTGCCAACTGAGCAGCCATGCGCCACACCACAGCGCGGCTGCCGCTCATCTCCAGCCACTCCCCTGCCTCCCGTGGCAGGCCTCTCGGTTTCTGAGCGTCTTGCCTAGCTGACCCCTCTTCACCACACCAATTCAGCCTTTCATTTTCTTTTTCTCTGCTCCCCATGACACCAGGGCCCCTTCGCTGGCCTTTGGTCTGCCTTCTCAGGTGCACCTGCTGAATGGCATGCTGTTTTGTAAACGCCCAGTGCACACCTGTTGGAGGTTCTTGGCAGCAGCCTCTCATCTCTCACTGCTCTTTTCCCCAGGAAGCACCCTGGACGCAGCTGGCTGCCTCAGTGCCCTGTGGGGTGCTTGTGCGCCTCACCCCCCTGACCTCTCCTTTTCCTTCTTCCTTCAACTCCTCTGTCCCGCTGCCTTCTCTGTCTGTTCTTGCTCTCCTGCCTGTCCTGTCCACCACACCCACCATAGCCACCCACAGGCGAGCTCCTCGTGCGCTGTGTCGTGAACCCTACGACCCCTTGGGAGCACACACGATTTTGGTTTATCTCCGATAGCTGGGCTGCTGCCAAGTGCAGGATCTTGTCATGATGAGGCATAATTGTAGTTGTTTATCAACTTGAATGGGTTACACTGACTAGGAAATTTCACTTGCTTTTGTGGGGTTATGAAAAGACAGCTAAGTCTTTGGCTTTTTTCCTCTGGAGCTCAGGTACATGTCACATTTCTCGGTTTGTGGTAAATTCCTGTCATTTGTCATAGCTGTCTCCCTTTTGTATATTTAATAATAAGTGCATACTTGTGAGACTCCCACCCTGTGTGAGAACCTTGAACATCTTATTGATCCTTAACTACATGTTCATACTTCACTCCTACCTGCTTCCTGCCTCCCTGCCCATCCTTGGCTAATTCTTCTTCTTCTTCCTTTTTTTTTAAAGATGTATTTATTTGAAAGGCAAGGTCACAGAGGTGGGGGTTGGGGTGTCTTCCATCTGCTGGCCACAAATGGCTGGTGTTGGGCTGATCCAAATCCAGGAGCCTAGAGCTTCTTCCAGGTCTCCAGTGTGGGTACAAGAGCCCAAGGACTTGGGCCATCCTATGCTGTTTTGCCAGGCCAAAGCAGAGAGCTAGATGGGATGCCTGTGTGGCAGGTGGCAGCTGTACCCGCTATGCCATAACACTGGCCCTGTGATTAGTATTTGTAGGGAGATACCTGCTTCGCCATGTTACTGCTTACTTCTGATACCACTCGTGTTTAGAATGATGTACCTTTACAGCCTTCCTGCCGGCTACGGTAGCTTTCCCTTATTCATGCAGGATGTGTTCTAATACCCCCAGTGGGTGCCTGAAACTGTGGTAGTACCGACTCTCTCTGTATGTGCACAGTGTTTTTTTCTGTGCATGCATTCCTATGATAAAGTTTAGTTTATAAAGCAGGCACCTAAGAGATAATAACAATAATAAAACAGCAATCATGCTAATATACTGTAAGTTATGTGAACCTGTTTTTTTTCTGTCTCTCAAAACGTCTCCTGAGTCCTGTAGCTGTTGGCAGCCTCGCCGTATGATTTTTGTTTGCTTATAAAGTGGGAGAACTTTCACCTGGTACTTTAAGGAAGCACTTTGTGACTTCTCTTTGGCACATCTGAATTGGCAGCATCATTGCTCCGATGCTCTTGGACCATTATTCGGTCCAGAGCTCCTTGAGCGCAGGGAGTCAGCTTGGTCCCACAGGGCTCGGCAGTGACTGACGGGTGTATGGTGCCGACAGCATGGATGCTATGGACAGGGGAACGGTTCATGTCCAAGGCAGAGGGCAGGGGTGCAGGGCAAGATTTCATCACCCTATTCAGAATAACCCACAATTTAAAAGTTATTTTATTTCTGGAATCTTCCATTTAAGAGTCTCAGACCTTTGTTGACTATAACTGAAACCACAGGAGTGAAACCTTGGATAACAAAGGACTATTGCACAGCTCTATGCTGCAGAATCTGATGTTAATATAAGAAATCAAGGTGGTTTTTCTTTTTGTAAATGTCTGATTGTATATGTGTGTGTGTGTGCGTGTGCACGCGCGTGCTTAAGATTGATTTATTTGAAAAGCAGAGCTGCAGAGAGAGAGACTTAGGGAGAGACAGGGAAAGAGATCTATCCACTGGTTCACTCCCCAAATAGCAGCAATGGCCAAAGCTGGGCCAATTCCAAGCCAGGAGCCTGGGGCTTCGTTTGGGTCTTCCATGTGAGTGCAGGGGTCTAGTCACTTAGGCCATCTTCCTCTGCTGTCCCAGTGCATTAGCAGGGAGCTGGATCAGAAGTGGAACAGCTGGGACTTGAACAAGTGCCACTGCAGGCAGTGACTTTACCCCTAGGGCACAGCACCGGTTCCCCCCACTCCCGGGTTGTCTGTCTGTTGGTCTTTCTTATTTATTTCTTTGAAAGGAGAAGTTACAGAGGCAGGGGGTTGGGGGAATCTTCCATTTGCTGGTTCACTCCCAAATGATCACAACTGCCAGAGCTGTGCCCATCTGAAGCCAGGAGCCAGGAGCTTCTTCTGGGTCTCCCACACAGGTGCAGAGGCCCAAGGACTTGGGCCGTCTTCTACTGTTTTCTCAGGCCATAGCAGAGAGCTGGATCAGAAGTGAAGCAGCTGGGACTTGAACTAGTGCCCATATGGGATGCCGGCACTACAGGCGGCAGTTTTACCTGCTAAGCCACAGCACTGCCCCCTCATTGTGTTTCAAAGTCTGTTCAGAATGAAGTATGTCTCAGAATTTTCTTTGCCAATATTTTTTCTTAAGTAACATTTCAGCTTTATCTGTATTTTAAAATTTGCTTATGATAGAGTAAACATATTTGACAAATTAAATTTAGAATGGGTTTTGATAAAAAGTATAATTATATAATGCTGAAACTATTTGAAATAAGAAGTATAAAAATCATAATGTGTGGTCACTTTAAATAAAGAGATGATTTGTTATTTAAAAGATTGTCAGATTTTACCAGTTCATTCCCTTGAAGCTTTTATTTTTTTATTTTTTTATTTTTTGACAGGCAGAGTGGACAGTGAGAGAGAGAGAGACAGAAAGAAAGGTCTTCCTGTGCCATTGGTTCACCCTCCAATGGCTGCCACAGCTGGTGCGCTGTGGCCGGCGCACCGCGCTGATCCGAAAGCAGGAGCCAGGTGCTTCTCCTGGTCTCCCATGGGGTGCAGGGCCCAAGTACTTGGGCCATCCTCCACTGCACTCCCTGGCCACAGCAGAGAGCTGGCCTGGAAGAGGGGCAACTGGGACAGAATCCGGCACCCCTACCGGGACTAGAACCCGGTGTGCCGGTGCCGCTAGGTGGAGGATTAGCCTGTTGAGCCATGGCGCCGGCTTAAAAGTATCTTTTAACCCTGCACATAAATTGTTTATTTTATTAATTTATTAATTGGAGAAGCACAGAGATAGAGGCAAAGGGGGATCACTCCCCAAATGCCCACAATGGCTGGGACTGGCTGGTCCAAAGCTGTGAGCCAACAATTCAATCCAGCTTTCCCACATGGGTGGCAGGTACTCCATTCCATGAGCCATCATTGCTGCTGCCCAGGGTCTGCATTAGCAGGAAGCTGGAGTCCGGAGCTGGAGCCAGGTACCAAACCCAGGTGCTCCAATATGAGACACATGTGTCCTAATGATGTCCTCATCTCTAGGCCAGATGCCCTCCCCAGTTGTTCATTTTTAGGAATCATCTTAGTACAGGGTTGACTCCTAGCTACACTCCTGGTTTTAACTTCCTGCTAGTGTGTACCCTGGAGGCAGTATGTGGTGGCTGACATAGTTGGCTCCCTGCTACCCATATGGGAGACCTGGATTGAGTTCTAGGGTCCTGACTTCAACTTGGACCCCAGCTTTTGTGGGCATTTGTGGAGTTACTCAGTAGAAGTGTGATCTCTGTCTATCTTGTTCTCTCTGTCTCTTTGCCTTTCAAAATAAAGTAAATAAAGTAGAAGAATAATCTACTCTTTTTGTCAACTTCATTGCATTTTCCCTATTATGTTTATTTTTAATTTTAATTTTCTTTTTCTAGGTTTTTTTTTGGGGGGGTTGCTACTTTGTCCCATTTTAAGTTCTTTATCAAGAGGCTTGGTTCATTATGCTTTTGTTTTTTAGCTTTAGTTTTGTTATCAGTCTAATTGCTCAGTCTTAGAGCAAGTCTAAGTACCATTGGCAGCTTTTTATGTGTTTTGCTGTGTTATCTATTAAAATACTATATTACAAGTTTCTTGCTGGGTTTGGACTCTAAGATATTTTGTTCTTTATTTTTTATATATTTGAATGTTATTCAGAATTGTTTTTTTCTCTAATTTGTCATACTAACAGCTGACATAGGTCACATTTTTCACTTAGTACGTGATCCATTTTTGTAGATGATTCCATTAGGATTGAAAAATCATTCCTTTATCTCTCCTGACAGGTTATTCAAGGCCAATTTTATTGTGTACTTGAGCTATTATTACAGCAAGGGACTTTCAAATCTTAAGTTACTCTCCGAGGTTTCTCTCTTCTATGTCAGCCCTACCCTCTCACTTTTGTTAACATTGCTGCCAAGATTTCATTTATACACATCTTTATTTGCTCTAGATCAGAATTTAGGTTTCCCTTATTTTTTATTAAATTTTTAAAAAAGATTTATTTATTTGAAAGAGTTGCAGAGAGAGAGAGAGAGAGAGAGAGAGAGAGAGAATCTCCCATCCACTAGTTCACTCCCCAAGTGGCTGCAACAGCTAGGGCTGGGCGAGGCCAAAGTCAGGAGCCAGGAGCTTCATCAAGGTCTCTCACATGAATGCAAGGGCCCACATCTTGGGCCATCTTCTGGGCTTTCTGAAGCACATTGTCAGGGAACTGGATTAGAAGTAGAGTAGCGGGAGTCAACTGGTGTCCCTGTGGTATGCCAGTGTCACAGATGGCTTCACCCATTGCTCTACTCTGGTCTCCATACAAACTGAGTACATATGGGACTATATTTAATTTGCATGGTTTTTTGGTTAGGTAATCAAGAAATTCAGTAGTACTTTTCACAAACAGTAAGTTTATTCTATTTGCATTTTTCTTTTTTTCCTCCCCATAGGAAATTTTTTTAAGATTTATTTATTTATTTACTGATTCCCATGGGCCATCAACAGGGAGCTTGATTGGAAATGGAACAGCCACAGGCCGGCGCCGTGGCTCAATAGGCTAATCCTCCACCTAGCGGCGCCGGCACACCGGGTTCTAGTCCCGGTCGGGGCGCCGGATTCTGTCCCGGTTGCCCCTCTTCCAGGCCAGCCCTCTGCTGTGGCCAGGGAGTGCAGTGGAGGATGGCCCAAGTGCTTGGGCCCTGCACCCCATGGGAGACCAGGAGAAGCACCTGGCTCCTGCCATCGGATCAGCGCAGCGCGCCGGCCGCGGCGGCCATTGGAGGGTGAACCAACGGCAAAGGAAGACCTTTCTCTCTGTCTCTCTCTCTCACTGTCCACTCTGCCTGTAAAAAAAAAAAAAAAAAAAAAAAAAAAAACGGAAATGGAACAGCCAGTACTCAAACTGTTGCCCATATGGGATGCTGGCATCACAGGCTGCAGCTTTATCTGCTACACCACAATGCTGGTCCCTATTTGCATATTTTTTCTTTTTATATCTAAGATATTGGAAAATATAAACTACCAGATGTAATTGAGACCTTTGCATTGCTCTCCCATTTTTTTTTAAAGATTTATTTATTTATTTGAAAGGCAAAGTTACAGACAGAGAGAGGAGAGATAGAGAGGTCTTCCACCTGCTGGTTCTTTCCCCAAATAGCTACAACAGCTGGAGCTGGGCAGATCCGAATCCAGGATTCAGTAGCTTCTTCTGGGCCTCTCATGTGGATGCAGGGACCCACTTGGACCACCTTCCACTGTTTTCCTAGTCATTAGCAGGGAGCTGGTTTGGAAGTGGAGCACCAGGGACTTGAATGGCACTTGTATGGGATGCCGGTGCCACAGGCAGAGGCTTAACCTACTACACTACAGCACCAGCCCCTCTCCAGTGCTCTTTCAATTTTTGCCCTTTTGGAGTAGATTTGAGACTTTGATTTTTCTCATGGGACTAAATTGGAAGATAGGGATACATCCTTATCATTGCAGTTTGGAATTTTCATATGCAGTGTTTGGCTTGCATACCACTGTAGTATAATTAACCTGTGTCTACAGCCTCCTTATTTGGGATTTGGTCTTCAGGTTTCTTAACTATGCTGCTAATATTGTAACAATGGGAGGTGGGGTAAGAAGAAGCTGACAGAAGGGCAGGAGCCAGTGTGGTGATGTCACCAGGGCCTGAACTGTCTTTCTTCCCTCTCTCCTCCCCAAAACTAGCTCCTTGGGCTCCTGCAGTGGTTGTGTGCTTTCAACCACCTCTCCTTCCTAGCTTGGTCTTGTGTGTGGCACAAGGTGAAATTGTACTCACCTCTCCCCACTTCTGCTCTGGGTGCATAGCATGTGGATGGTGTTTAAAGCTTGGAGACTGGCTCCTAGGACAGTAGAAGTCAGGGCAGTGAGAGGATGCACCTGCTTTAGTCTCTGGCCTTTTAGCTCTTTCCCACCCTGAGACACTGGTAAACATTGCTCTGCATTGCTGGCATAGGAAGCTATTTATGATGGAATATTATGTACATATATTTAAATTCTAGAGTCCTCTCCCTGCAGAATGCAAAACCATGTTTATTCTAACATTAGGCGACTTTTAGTTTTAAAGATGTATTTATGTATTAAAAAGGCAGAGTTACAGAGAGGGAGAGACAGACAGACATACATACACACAGAGTGAGAGGGAGAGGGAGAGAGAAAATTCCATCTACTGGTTTACTTCCCAAATGAATGCAACAGCCAAACCAGGATCCTGGAACTCCTTCTGGGTCTCCCACGTGGGTGCAGGGGCCCAAGTACTTGAGCCATCTTCTACTTTCAGGTGCATTAGCAGGAAGCTGGATCAGAAGTAGAGCAGCTGGGACTTGAAACAGTGCCCAATGTGTAATCCCAGCATCATAGGCGCTTTAACCCAAGGTGCCACAAAAGCCCATTCCAGTTTTTTTTTTTTTTTTTTTAACATGGTTTCAGGAATAGTATTACTACAAAAAATGGAAACACTTTTGCCATTTTTTCTTTTAACATTTTAGTATAATTGTTTCATTTAAATTAGCATCACTATCTTGAACCCTTTTCTAGAACTGACATAGAGTGTGGCTGTTTGAGTTAATCATAGGCCATTGTTACAGTAAAGCAAGTCTTTGTGAAGTTCTGTACTCTTCTCAGAACCATCAACTAGTACTATACATGATGAGAACAGGTTGGTGACATTGAAATCTTTGATGGGGGTTGAGAGGATGAGTCTCATTCATAAACATGTTTTACTCTTGCTTTTGTTTTGGCCTTCTCGGATACTGATCTTCCTAACAGATCATTTCAGATCATTTAGGTCATGAAGTACTTATCTTCCACGTTCAACAAATAGGACTTTTCCTCAGTCCTGGGCCTGTGATGATAATTCCCTCTGTGTAGATTTTCTTTCAAGTTCTTTCTGTTCTCCCGAAACTGAAGGATTCTTTTCTTTGCATCTTAAATGTTATCTTCTATCTTGGCGAGTACTTAGGAGTATCTTGATCTTATTTTGTGTTGGTTTTAAATACAGTTTGAGAACGGACTGAGGAGGTTATGGTTTTTTTGTTGTTACTTTTTTTTAATGATTTTAATTGTTCTTAATTTAATACATATATTCAGTTGTATATACATACATTCAATTATTAAAGTAGGAATTATTCATGTGATTTTGGATCATATTGTTCTGTTTCTCAAACCTTTTCAATTTCTGTAGTTTTGTGGCCCATAAATTTATCTTGGATCAGTATCATTTACTTGGATTAGTATCTCTTTGAGTCATTTAATTTTCTGGAGTTGAAAAAATATGGTTTTGATTTTATCTTCTCATATTTATTTTAGTTTCTTTCCAGAGGAGTAGTTCTTTCTTTTCTCTCAAAATTTATTTATTTATTTGAGAAGAAGGGAGGGCAGAAGGAAGCCAAGGAGAGAGTGAGAGAATGACAATGACAATGAGCGTTCCCACCCACTGGTTCACTCCCCAAAGGTCTGAAATGGCCCCAGGTAGGGAGCTGAGAATACAATCCAAATCTCCCACATGGGTGTCAAGGTGGCAATCAGTTGAGTCACCCCACTACTTCCCAGGGTCTGCATCAACAGTCAGGAGCCAGAGCTGGGAGTGAAATCTAAGTGCTTGGATGTAGGCCAGGGGCGTCTTAACCTCTAGGTTAAATGCTCATTGAGAGGAGTGGTTCTTGGCCGGCGCCACAGCTCACTAGGCTAATCCTCCACCTTGCGGCACTGGCACACCGGGTTCTAGTCCTGGTTGGGGCGCCGGATTCTGTCCCGGTTGCCTCTCTTCCAGGCCAGCTCTCTGCTGTGGCCAGGGAATGCAGTAGAGGATGACCCAAGTGCTTGGGCCCTGCACCCCATGGGAGACCAGGAGAAGCACCTGGCTTCGGATCAGCGCAGTGCGCCGGCTGAGGTGGCCATTGGAGGGTGAACCAATGGCAAAAGGAAGACCTTTCTCTCTGTCTCTCTCTCTCACTGTCCACTCTGCCTGTCAAAAAAAAAAAAAAAAAAGGAGTGGTTCTTAAACCATGTGTGTATTGTGGACTGGTTTTTGGGCTTAAATACCACAATGGATACATGTACTACAGAAAATCTATGGAACATTCCCCGAGCTTCATGGATCCTAACTTCCTTCATGCTTTTGAAAACGCCCGTGGAGAATGTACTGTTTCTATGCTGCTCCAACTTGCTTTTTCACTTAACCATAGGTTATGATGTCTTTAGCAGATCCTTTAATTAGGTGAGAATGTGAGTATGAAAGTAACATCAACCAGGGCTGGCGCTATGACATAGTGGGTAAAACTGCTGCCTGCAGTGCTGGCATCCTTTATGGGCAACGGTTCTAGTCCCGGCTGTTCCACTTCCAATCCAGCTCTCTGCTATGGTTTGGGAAAGCAGTAGAGAATGACCCAAGTCCTTGGGCCCCTGCATCCATGCAGGAGACCTGGAAGAAGCTCCTTGCTCCTTCCTTCAGATTGGCGCAGCTCTGGCTGTAGCAGCCATTTGGGGAGTGAACCAGCAGATGGAAGGCCTCTCTCTCTCTGCCTCTGTTTCTCTGTAATTCTGCCTTTCAAATAAATAAATAAAATCTTAAAAAAAAAGTAACATCAACCAATGCCTGTCATAACTGCTGGAGTTATTTTTGTAATATTTCTAATTTAACTAGTGTTTAATATCATTAAATGTTTTGTATAGCCTCTGTAAATGGACAATAATCTTGGAGCAATTTGATGGCTCAATAGGTACTTATATGTTTTTCATTCTATTATTTTAGGTCACATGTGACTTTTCTCATTCTTGTAGATGTGGACAAAGCAAAAGGAGAAGTAGGAACTACCAGGGCAGGTGCAGTGACACCCAGGCCCCAGGGGCTGAGGTGGTGACAGGAATCATAGGGTCAGAACACGTGGACATCCGTAGGCAATGATTTATAAGTATTTTCAGTTTCAGTCATGATTTAGCAAACAGTTCTTTCTTGCTCAACTCTGGACCAGGAGTGAATCAGGCTCCTGTTTCATCTGCATGTGGTTGCAATATCTCCTCCCAGGCATTCTACTCCGTGCAGGTCATCATCTGTCCCACACAAGAATGTGTGTGTGTGTGTGTGTGTGTGTGTGTGTTTGTTAAGATTTATTTGTTTATCTGAAAGGCAGAGTTAGAGAGAGAGAGAGAGGCAGACAGAAAGAGAAGGAAATCTTCCATCAGGTGGTTCTCTCCCCAGATGGCCACCATTGCTAGGGTTGGCCCGGGCCAAAGCCAGGAGCATGGAACTCCATCCAGGTCTCCCACGTGCATGGCAGGAGCCCACATACTTGGATCATCACCTGCTGCTTTCCCAGGAGCATGACCAGGGAGCTGGGTCAAAAGTGGTATAGCTGGAACTTGAGCCGGAGCGCAAATGGAATGCAGGTGGTGGCTTAGCCCACTGTACCATAACAGCAGCCCTAAAGTGTTTTAAAAGAGCATCAAATCCTGTACCAAGGGTCCTCCAGAAAGTTCATAGAAAAATAGGCTTAACAGATAACTTTATTTTGGTACAGAATTTTGTTGAAACCTGTGCAAATTTTTTTCATAATATGAGTTTTTCATGATTTTTGTTTTTTTTTTTTTTTCATGAATTTTGAAGACACTCTCATATGCATGAATTTCTGAATACTTTTTCACCAAAATAACCTTTTAATTTGATTGTTCTGAGGCCATTGTTGTGGCATAGTAAATTAAGTCTCTGCCTGTGGTGTTGGTATCCCATATGGGTGCTTGTTTGAGTCCTAGCTGTTCTACTTCTGATCCACCTCCCTGCTAATGGCCTGGGAAATTAGTAGAAGATGGCCCAAGTGCTTGATCCTCTGCACCCACGTGGGAGACCTGGAAGAAGCTCCTGGCTTAGGAGTTAACTCAGCTCTGGCCATTGGGGCTATTTGGGGATTGAACCAGCAGATGGAAGATCTTTCTCCCTGTCTCTCCCTCTCTGTGGCTGTAACTCTGTCTCTCAAATAAATAAATAAGTAAATAAATGTTTTTAAAAAATTTTATTGTTCCATGAACTTTTTGACATCCTCATATAGGGAGTTGAAGAAAGAAGTAAAGTGTTCTTCTCTACCGTAATAGTTTCTTCTTTTTCCTTTTTTTTTTTTTTTTTTTGACAGGCAGAGTGGACAGTGAGAGAGAGAGACAGAGAGAGAAAGGTCTTCCTTTGCCGTTGGTTCACCCTCCAATGGCTGCCGCAGCAGCGCACCGCGCTGATCCGATGGCAGGAGCCAGGTACTTATCCTGGTCTCCGTGGGGTGTAGGGCCCAAGCACTTGGGCCATCCTCCACTGCACTCCCTGGCCACAACAGAGAGCTGGCCTGGAAGAGGGGCAACCGGCGCCCCGACCGGGACTAGAACCCGGTGTGCCAATGCCGCTAGGTGGAGGATTAGCCTATTGAGCCATGGCACCGGCCTCTTCTTTTTCCTTTATATCATCTTTGTCTGAAAATTGATATTAAAGTTAAATGTTATTTTTTAAAAATTGATTTCATGGAATCTGCCTGGATACCTTACACTCTCTGGTCACCTTAAGCAGTGAGTGGCTTTTCTGAAATGACCTAAGCAACTAATCATAAAGTGATTTCTTAACAAAGTTTTATTTCTATGTTCAGAAGGCAGAAGGAGAGAGGAAGAATGCGGGAGAAAGCTAGAGAGAGATACACTGATCTCCCATTTGCTGGTTCACTCTCCAAATACCAATAAATCTAGGGCTGGGTCAGGCCAAAGCCAGGAGCCAGAAGCTGCCTCTGCGTCTCCTGTGTGTAGCAGGAACCCAACCACCTGAGTCGTCAGTGCTGCTGCCTGGAGTGTGCATTAGCAGGAAGTTGGAGTCGGGAGCCAGAGCTGAGTATTGAACCCAGGCACTCTGTTAGGCCAAACACCCTTCCCAAGGAAGCACCTTTCAAATAATGAATGTACCAAACTGAAAGCAACGTCTGTGGTGTGTGCATTAGCAGGAATCGGGATTGGAAGTAGAGGTGAGATTTGATCTCAGGCCCTTCAGTGTGTCACCCATGTTGGAGGCCTATATTGAATTCCTGGTCCTTGGCTTTGGTACAGCCTAGTCACAGATGTTGTGGGCATTTGGGGGAGGGAACAGAAGGTGGAAACACACACTTGTGTTTTCTGTCTCTGCCTTGCAAACAAACAAATTTATTTTATAAAGTACTTTCTTGGGGGCTGGTGCTGTGGAATAATGGCATGCAGTGCCAGCATCCCAGATGAGTGCCAGTTCAAGGCCCAACTGCTCTATTTCCAATCCAGCTCCCTGCTAATGGCCTGGGTAAGTGATGGAAGGTGGCCCAAGTGCTTGGACCCCTGTACCTGGGTGGGAGACCCAGAAGATGTTCCTGGCTCCTCGCTTCAGATAAGCCCTGCTCCACTGTTGTGGCCATTTGGAGAGTGAACCAGCCAATGGAAGATCTCTCTCTTTCTCTCTTTCTGTCTCTCCCTCTCTCTCTGTAACTCTGCCTCTCAAATAAATAAATAAATCTTTAAAAAAATACCAGAAAACAGAAATGTACCTTTGAAGCAGACAGGACTTGGCACAACTTCTGCAATATGTCTTAGAGATGGTTCAAAGTATTCTTAATCATTCAGGACAGTGGTTTCCAACCAGATTTAGCCATGTCTGAAGGAATTTGGAGTAGCTTTCTCAAAATCCACACATCTGGACATCCCTCTTGCCTATGGGATCCAGATCCCTGATAACTGATATGTCTGTAAATGGTTATTGTTCTTACTAAGTCGGTGCATATTAAATAGCACATATGAGGATACTTCAAAAAGTTCATGGAAGAATGGAAATAAAAGACAAGTTTAAATCATATCTATATGAAGGAATCAGTGTACTCCTAATTAATGAACTTGCTCCTGGGTGTTTTCTATCTCCATAGTTTTAGTCAAAACCAAAGAGTGGGCACAGTGCTTCATTAGAAGTGTCTCGTGGTCCTTGTCAAAACAAGTGTAGCAGTGACAGCTGAGGACATGAGAGTGAAGCCATCAGATCCTTGCAGCTCGCTGCTCCTGCTAGTGCACTGGTGGATGGCGCTGAGGTCTGGTACAGTGTGAGTGTGACACATACTTCTACATGTTCCTAAGCCTGTCCCCCAGGAGGCAAGGGGGTGGCACCTGCAGCTCTACAGAGTTCTTGATGTGCTCAGAAGCTTTGTCAAGCTTACTGATAGCTGACTCCTATCTTTGTTATGTTTCCTTGTCTCCTTGTTTTACAAGCAGAACTTCCTTCTGTCAACTCTTTCCCACATGGTCTGCTCTGTAAACAAATACTGGGGTGTGCGTTGGTGGGGGCATCCTGCATTGTGGTGCAGCAGGTAAAGCCACTGCCTGCAATGCCAGTGTTCTGTATAGGCGCTGGGTCTAGACCTGGCCACCCTACTTCTGATCCAGCTCCTTGCTAATGGCCTGAGAGAGCAGCAGAAGATGGTCTAAGTGCTTTGGCCCCTGCACCCATGTGGGAGACCTGGGTGAAGTTCCTGGCTTCTGGCTTCAGCCTGGCCCATCCTTGGCTATTGCAGCCATTTGGTTAGTGAACTAGCAATTGGAAGAAATTCTCTCTCTCTCTCTCTCTCTCTCTCTCTCTCTCTCTTTTTCTTCTTCCTTCTTCCTTCTTCCTTCTTCTCTGCCTGTAACTCTGCCTTTCAAATACATAAATAAATCTTTAAAAACAAAACCCAAATACTGGAGTGGGAGGAGGGATGGGAAGTACATTAACAGATGAGGAATGAAAGATGTGCTGTTGCCTTTTAATGGAGTGGGTGGGATGGGGTGTTGGTGGTGGAGTGTATTTCTCTGCTTTTTGTTACTTTAACTAAAATACCCAGGAGGAACTTGTTGGGAAAAAGAGGTTATTTTCACCTTACAGTTTGGAGGTTATAGTTCAGGATCAGGTTGTCCCATAGACCAGCGTCTATGGAGGCTGCTCCTGGTGGGTGCACAGGAATGATCACATGGTGAGACAGTGAGCCAAGAGAGATGCAAGACTGAACAGCTCAACAGTCAGCCCTCTTGCAAGAACCATGCTCCGAGGAAACACCCCCAATGACCTAAACACCTCCCACCAGCCCCGCTTCCTAGCTGCCACCTTTACTAGATCAAGTCTCCACCCTGAATTCAGCAGCTATTAAGACATTGGAATTTAAACATCTGCATGAGTTTTGAGTCCTACTTAACCCATAACGGGGAGGAGGGGTGTGAAAGAAAGGAAAAGGAACTGACTTCACGTTTTCCCTGAGTCTGGGAGGTGAAATGTGGGAGAATGCAGTTTGTCTTATTCCCTGTGAGGTTCCTCTTGTAACAAAACAGAGCACTGGTTTGATTTAATACATGTTACCTGTGCCTGCTTCCTTCTGCCTAAAAGATCTTTCCCTCTGTAACTAGCCAGTGTTTCCCATGACATGTGTATCTCAATTGTCATTTCCAGTGAGCCTCTCCATTGCCACATGTTCACCTCATCCCTTGGTCTCTGGTCTTGGTCTTCTCCCCTCAGTGACTAAGGGGCTTGAGCTGCCATGTCCACTTTTGTGTTGCTTTATGGTCTCAAGATTTGCTTCACGCTTTTTATGAAGAAGCACAGTAGCCTTTTAGAGGACCACTCTGCCTTTTGGGCCACTTCTGCATCCAGGAAGACTGAGCTGGTGTCTACAGGCCCTCCACAATCTCTGAATAGAGGCTCTGCCATCAGCCAGTAGCTTCCCAGATGACGAGCAGATTAACCTCTGCCCCTGACTGCTTAGCCTGAACACCACGGAAGAGTTCATTGTGTTCTTTGAGCTGGTTATAGCTGATTCGGCTGTTTTCCTAGAGAGTTTACTAATAGTTCTGGTGGGAGGAGAGGGGGAGCATAGACTGGCTTCAAACATTCCAAAGATCCAGCAAGACCTGTTTGGGGCCTCTCCTTTCAGAATCAGGAAGTGTCAAGGGGCTGGTTTATCCAGATGTGCGGGAGCACCCTTAGAAAGGGCTAAACATTGACCCACATACTTGGGCTGGGAAGGTTCACCAAGGTACACCGAGGAGCTTTCTTCCCTCCCTGGCCCTCCCACTCTCCTTACCTCTGCCCAGCTTCTCTCACTAGGAGTTTGTAATATACCCACTAGTCTGCCCTGCCTCTATTGAGTTCTCTATTCAGCAGAGCAGGGTTCTCCTCAAATTAACTGTTGTTTCATTGAGGAACAACTTGATTTTCAAGAAATACAATGTTGCAGGCTAAGTGTCTGGTATTTAGGAAGTCACACTGGCAACTTTTTAACCTCAGGTAGCTGTATACAATGTATACAAATGTATACAGTTTGCCAGCCTGTCTTTGGTGTATGTTTGAGAAACAACATTGGTAAGGAATAGAATTTAGTATTTCTTTGCTCTATGTCAAAAGAATAAAAAATCAGAGTGTAGAGGTATTCTTTGGGGGCCTTTGGTAAATTTGATCGGAGCAGGTATTTTGAAAGAGAGTCCAATATCTCCCTTAAGGTCAAGAGAACAATCCCTAGGAGTCACACTGACAACTGCAGCTCAAAGCAGATTGGATTTGCATGTACTTTCTCCCTCGCCCCTCCCCATCTCCTCCTGCACTTACACTAAACACTTGCCTTGCTTGCTTACTTGAGCTATTCCTGTATCAAACATTAGTTTCTTTTCTTTTTTGTCACTGCAAATTGTTTATTAAAACACAAAGAAATGGACAAACAATAGTTTCTTAAACTGGTTGTCTCCATTCAAAAACTTCCAAAAGTCTGTGGAAAATGGAATGGACAGAGAAGTTTATTTTACTGCAAAAACGTTTGAAATCCATGGATGTGCCCGGTCTTCAAAGCCTTCATGGCAAATGCTCCTTATGAAAGAACTATGCATGGGTTTCAAAAAATGCACCACAATAAACTTATATATTTTTTAAAAGATTTATTTTATTTTTTTGAAAGGCAGAGTTATAGAGACAAAGAGAGACAGAAAGTGAGATCTTCCATCTACTGGTTCACTCCCCGTGGCTGCAACAACCGGGACTGGGCCAGGCTGAAGCCAGGAATCAGGAGCTTCATCCAGGTGCTTCTGTGGGTTCAGGGGCCCAAGCATTTGGGCCATCCTCCGCTGCTTTCCCAGGCCATTAGAAGGCAGCTGGATTAGAAGTAGAGCAGCTGGGACTGGAACCAGCACCTGTATGGGATGCCAGTGTCACAGGTGTCAGCTTTTTTTTTTTTTTTTTTTAGATTTATTTATTTATTTGAAAGGCAGAGTTAGAGAGAGAGACAGAGAGAGATAAAGAGAGAGAGAAAGGTCTTCCATCTGGTGGTTCACTCCCAAGATGGTTGCAACAGCTAGAGCTGTGCTGATCCAAAGCCAGGAGCCAGGAACTTCTTCCCAGTCTCCCATGCAGGTGCAGGAGCCAAGGACCTGGGCCATCTTCTACTGTTTTCCTAGGCCATAGCAGAGAGCTGGATTGGAAGTGGAGTAGCCAGGACTCAAACCAGCACCCGTATGGGATGTCGGCACTGCAGGTGGCAGCCTTACCTGTTATGCCACAATGCTGGCCCCACGGTATCAGCTTTAACCTGCTACATGGCCATACAGGCCCTAATAAGCTTATCTTCTAATTCAGTTTTCTGTGAACTTTTTGGAGTCGCCTCCTGTAACTTGAATGCCATTTTGTCAGCTAAAGATTAGGAATATGTTTATGATGAGCATCGTAGTTTTCACCCACAAAATAGCTACACTGACAAGAAGGGGCTACACAGTCACATTGAACACCTACCATAAGCAAGTCCTGAATCATGCGAAGAGAAACGTTTGCCAGGCTGCTGCATGGAGACCCAGGGCTGGACAGCTCTCCTGGCTGGAGAGAAAGCATGGCTGGCTGGCTCAGCCCTGCCCACAGCCTGCTGTGGCCCTTGGGACTGGAGGTTTCCTGCATGTTTGGGGCTGAAACTGGCTGGGCGGGGCTTCCTCTTTCCCTGAGCCTGGGCATTGGACTGTGTGGAGTCAAACCCAGTGTTTCCCCTACTTGCTTAGAGATCGAGGGCACAGGATTTAAAGTCTCTGTGTCTGTTCCTCAGTTGAGCATGGGATACAGAGAGCAGCTCCCTCCTGGGGTATGTAAGAGGATTCGTTGGGGAGCTCACTTGGGACGAAGTGTGCTCCACCATAAGCACTTGTTGCAAGTAGTCATCCTTGAGCTATGAGTATAGAATACAGAGACTGGAAAATCAGGGTGCAGATATTTATTTTTCTCATGTAGTTAGAACTTCAGCAGTAGGCGGTGCAAGACTGGTATTGTGGTAGTTTCATGTGGCCATTACCGGACTTCAATATTTATCCCCACAAGATTGATTTATTTATTTGAAAGGCAGAATTGCTGGTTCACTCCCCAAATTGCTAGAATAGGCACGGCTAGGCCAGACAGAAGCAAGGAGCCAAGAGCTTCATCTGGGTCCCCCATGTAGATAGGATTTGGGCCATCTTCCATTGCTTTCCCAGGCACATTAGCAGGGAGCTGGATCAGAAGTGGTCACTGGAACTTGAACTGGCACCCATGTTGGATGCTGGCGCTGCAGTCAGTGGCTTAACCCATTATGTCACAATTCCCTAAGACTTCAGTATTTCTACTCTGCTGTCCTTACTGTATCCTTTTCACTTCATAGTCACAATATGGCTGCCTCAGCTCCAGTTTCCTTGTTAAGTTTAAAGCATGAAGAAGAGGAAAGTCAGAGAGCCAAGGATTAGCACCAGCTGAATGACCTCTCCTAATAAAATAATTTCCCAGAAGACACCATTGTCAATGTCTACTTAGATCCTGTGGGCCAATATTCTATCACATGACTTATCTGTAAGAGAAGAAAGGAAATGCAGTCTTTAAATTGTGTATATTATCATTCCCTAAACATCCAGGTTACTCTTGGAAGAATTCATAAAGGGAAGTTGGGTATGCAAACTAGAGTGTCTGCCACAGCTGGTACCTCAGTATTGTTGCACAGACATTGTCCTTGAATGTGGCTGTTGCTGGAGATGGGCACTTTGGAAGAAGATGATTTCAGAATTTGGACTCATGGTAGTATGCAGCCCCACTAGGGACCGGTCCTGGAGTGAAGCAGCTGTCATCTGCATTCTGACCACTTCCACTGACTCCTTCTGTGTCTTTCTCCTACCTTCCCAGCCTCCCCTCTTTCAGTACCACCCGGGGAAGTGAGTGTCCTTATCCAGTCTTTTCCCTGTCTTCTGTTGCCTGCAAATTCCAGGGTGTCTTGAGGGGAACTCCTGGGGGCAGCTTGTCTGGTGGCCCTGCCGGTGCTGAAGACAGGATGCACAACAGCCCAGGTATCTGCCAGAGAAGGGAGGGGTGAAGTGGCGTGCCTTTGGAGGACTTGTCTGTGTCCAGCTCTCCACCTGCTGTGTGCTTCCCTGCTGCACCAATTCCTTAGGCCTGTGTGTTTCCTCTGTTTTATTGGCATTCTGTTCCCATGCTGCCTGCTGATGAAATGGGAAAAGAGCCTTTGCTGGACCTTGTCAGTGGGGTGGGTGAGTGCACTTGGCTCTCCCTCTTGGGCCCAGGGATGCTGTTTCCCACCAGTGGGGGTCATCCCTGGGGTGACAGATTCACAGCACACAGCTGCCCATGGTTTGGGATTTGGGGATGGGAGGGAGCCAGATGTCATCCTCTAAAACACCACCTTCATCAGCAACAGTGAGACTGTTCTCAGCCTGGGAAGCATGCAGGCCTGGGCTGTGCTAGGGCCAGCTCATTCACAGGCAGCGTGGTGGCCTGTGTTTGGTTAGGAGCGCCATGGCGGCTCCCAGGAAGCAGCTTTCCATACCTGTTGGCAGCTGCCTCACTTTCCCACCAGAATCAGCCAAGTTCCCTTTCAGAAAGGGCCTGCTGCATGGCTTCTCAGGATTTGCTTCATATCTCAGAATTTCTGACTCCATTAGCTTCACAGTGTGGGACTAATGCAAACATAATACAGGGCAGCTTGTTAGGAAGGCATCAAGTTAAGACTAGAAATGGTGTCTCTGACCCGCTCCCATACAAACGTGTCTCTTAGTCAAGTGCACTATAAATACGGTGGATGAGCAAGGGAAGAGAATTGATTGAAAATCTATATTTATATTATGTAGCACTACTTAAAACTCAGAGAGGGAAAGAGAGAGAGAAAGACGTTTCTCCCATCAGCTAGTTCAGCGATGTCTCTTCCATCAGCTTGTTCAGGCCCCAAATGTCATGCAGCAGCCAGGGCTGCAGAGGCCAGGAGCCTAGAGCTCTGTCTGGATATTCCACATGGGTGGCAGGGATCCAAGTACTTGAGCCATCACCTGCTACCTCCTAGGGTGTGCATTAGCAGGAAGCTGGAGTTGGAAGCAGAGCTGGGACTCAAACCCAGGCGTTCCAGTTTGATAGGCCTTTCTTCAGAGGTAACCAATACTTTTATTCTGTCATGTAGCGTTCCATATTTTTTTCTATGCATGTTTGATTACCTGAGGGTATTATACTTAAAATTGCATATAGGATTATGGTGTGCATTGTGCAACTTTCTGTTTGAAAGAGCAATTTGCTTGAAGATCCTGATATGCCAGTACATGTATACTTATTTCACTCTTTTTCATCGTTATGTAGTATTCTGTATTACAGATGTACTGTTGGGCATTCTGGTTGTTGTTATGTTTTTTGTTTTGAGCTTTGTTGGGCTTTTTTTGTGTGATGAATGTCTTTTTTTATCTTAAAGATATATTTTATTTATTTGAAAGTCAGAGTTACAGCAAGAGAAAGAAAAGACACACACAGAGACAGATCTTCCATCCACTGGTTCTCTCCCCAAATGGCTGCAATGGCTGGGGCTGAGCCAGGCCAAGCCAGGAGCCAGGAGCTTCTTCCAGGTCTCTCACATGGGTACAGGGGCACAAGCACTTGGGCCATCCTCCACTGCTTTCCCAGGTGCATTAGCAAGGAGCTTTCGGAAAAGAAGCATCCAGGAATCGAACCAGTGCCTGTATGGGATGCTGGCGCTGTAGGCAATGGCTTAACCCACTGTGCCACAGCGCTGGCTCCAGTGATGAATTCTTGTATTTGTCTTCCTGGGCATATGTGTGAGCATTTTTCCAGGATAGACACTGAAATGTAAAATACTTGAGGCATAGGAGGTATGCACTTAAGTTTTTAATAACTACTTCCAAAATTGCCTTCTTAATGTCACCGAGCTATGGTCCCAGGAGTGTGTGTGAGTTTCAACATACTTTTTGACATGTTTTCAGATAACCTTTCCTGTTGAGCTTTTGTACACTTTTTTTTGACAGGCAGAGTGGACAGTGAGAGAGAGAGACAGAGAGAAAGGTCTTCCTTTTGCTGTTGGTTCACCCTCCAATGGCTGCCGCGGCCGGCGCGCTGCAGCCGGCGCACCGCGCTGATCTGATGGCAGAAGCCAGGTACTTATCCTGGTCTCCCATGGGGTGCAGGGCCCAAGCACTTGGACCATCCTCCACTGCACTCCCTGGCCACAGCAGAGAGCTGGCCTGGAAGAGGGGCAACCGGGACAGAATCCGGCGCCCCGACCAGGACTAGAACCCGGTGTGCCGGCGCCGCAAGGTGGAGGATTAGCCTAGTGAGCCAGGGCGCCGGCCTTGTACACATTTTTGTTACATGGCCTCTTCTGGGGCTCCATTTAGCGTGTATGTATGCAGTGATGCTTCTATTTTGAAATAGTGAGAAACACCAAATCACTTTTACACCAGTGAAGCAGCAGTGGTGCGCTGAGAAACTGCCCTTGAAGGCTTTCTCCTGGAGCTCAGTATGCATGGACAAGAGCCACTCTTCAGATAACACTGAGCATCACTCTTTACAGTTGATGCTGTTGGTTTCCTCATAAGTATCTGTCTGTCCTACTCCTTTCTTATTGGCCTGACCGTTCCTTCTTTTTTTGCCCTGCAAAAATGACCCCCGTTCGGGGGTAAGTTATGGGAATGGCATTTTCTCTGCCTCTTGAGTTTAGATGTGAGCACAGGAGGCAGTTCTGTCAACAAGGACTGTGTGGACCTTCTGCGAAATGATTCCTCTTGCAAAGAGAGACTTGGGAAGTGAGGACTCGTCTTTTGCACGCGTCCTCTCTGGTGCTGACTCCCGTGGCGGTCATCACTACGTGTGCACGGGAACTGCATGCTGAGGCTGGTGGAACGGGGAGATGGAAGGGAACTGGGTCGGCTAGGGCATTAGGGGTGCTCTCGACTATAGGAAGCAGCCACTCAACCGCACACGCTTGAGTAGGGAGTTCTTTTCCCCACTTATCGTGGCTCAGCTTCCCAGTGGTGTCAGCAAGGCTCAGATGGTTCCACCTCCCATGAATGACTTTGCCTCCCCTTTCTTCTTGTTACCTCCTGGCTATAAGATGGCTGCCACAGCTCCAAGGAGGAGGAGCTCTGGTTAAGCAGAAAGCCGAGGACTCTCGGAGGTCTTGCTCTTGTGTCTCATTGCCAGTGCTGCTCACGTGGCCATTTCTACGTCAGGGGTAGCTGAGAAGTCAGACAGCAGGCATGGCAGAGAACAATGGTCATGATTTCCTTATTAGACAAATTATGTATGATATTTACCCCCTGCTGCAATTTTCCCAGACTTTGGCAGTTAAAAACTGTCTTGCTGCTTGAGTCATTGTGAGATGGTTTTTTTTTTTTTTTTTTTTTTTTTTTTTGCTACTCACAGCCAAAACAGATCTAACATACAATTAAACAAATGGGAATCTAATGCTAATGATTACTGTACTTTGTCCTTAAGACCTGGTGGGAATCATGTGTTCCTTTGATGGATTTAAGTTATTTGTGCTGTTCCAGCCCACATTCCCTACATAGTCTGCTAATAACACTGTTATTTTCTTTTGGGAGACCACCTGTCTCATTCTTGGCTTATGTGGCTTTGGGGCAGCTGAGTTCGTGTGGGCACACGCCCCAGGCCCGGCTGGAGTTCTCATCGTAGGTTCCCTGAGACAGTGAGAGTCCGCTGTAAGCCTCTGGCTGCAGCGTCCGAGACAGGGTAAAGCTACCACAGGAAATGGGAGCTGCAGGAAGGAGAGTTTTGTGTTCACATCATTGGGACCATCTCTCCCTGGATTCTTCACTTTTACTGCATACTTTTTTTTTTTTTTAAGATTTATTTATTTGAGGGGCTGGTGCTGTGGCATGGAGGGTTGAGCCTTTGCCTTCAGTGTTGGCATCCCACATGGCACCGGTTAAGTCACAGCTGCTCTACTTCCAATCCAGCTCCCTGCTAATGCTCCTGGGATAGCAGTGGAAGATGACCCAAGTGCTTAGGCCTGTGCACCCACGTGGGAGGCCTGGAAGAAGCACCTGGCTCCTGGCCTCAGATTGGCCCAGCTTTGGCTGTTGCAGCCATTTGGGGAGTGAGCCAGTGGATGGAATCTCTCTCTCTCTTTCTCTCTCTGTTCATCTCTCTGTATCTCTGCCTTTCAAATGAAATAAATCACTCTTTTAAAAAAGATTTATTTATTTGAAAGACAGAGTGACAAAGAGAGATAAAGGGTGTGAGAGGCAGAGAGATTGATCTATCTAGTGATTCACTCCCCAAATGACTACAATGCCTGGGGCTGGTCCAGGCCAAAGCCAGGAGCTCTGTCCTGGTCTTCTATGTGGGTGGCAGGGGCCTAAGCACGTTGGCCATCTTCCACTGCTTTTCCCAAGTGCCTTAGCAGGGAGCTGGATCAAAAGCTGAGCAGAAGGGATTTGAACCTGTGCCCTGATATAGGATGCCCATGCCTCTGGTAGCAGTCCAACTTGCTGCACCACACGCCAGCCCCTCTGTGTATCTTTCAGGTTGTGTTTTGGTGTTTGCTCCCGAGTGCTACCATGTGGCCTCTAGACTTCTATCTTTTTGAGTCTTGGTTGACTCTGAAATATGTTTTGGTCAGTTTGGGAGGCGGCGTTGGTGGGAGCAAACAGTTCTGTGCCCCTCGTCCAGGCTGAAGTGAGAGTGACACAGAGAAGAAAAGCTGAGTTCCCTTATCAATCCTCCAATCCGATATGAGGGAGATGCATGGTGTGGCACCAGAGGCCCAAGCTGAGATGTTACAGCTCAGCATAGCTTCCACTGGACATGCCCACAGTGGGTGGCAGGTGAGGTGGCACAGCAGTCCTGGTGGGGACAGTAGCGGTGATAATCGCTGAGCCCTGCCTGGTGCTACCTAAGCCCTTTACACCCATTGTCTCATTTAATCCTCAGAACAACAGCCTGAGTTCACAAGGTGGGGCTTGAGCAGCCGGTTCTGCCGCTGGTCTTAGCCCTCAGTGACAATTTCCAGTTTGCCTGAGCGGCCTCTGCTCTGAGTTCCATGATCTTCTCGCATCCGTGCTCTCCCACAGTTTTGGTCGCAGAGCAGCCTCTCTGCGTTCCACGCACCTGTCTCTTAGCCTTGTCCTGTGAACCTTCTCTGCCTTTCTTGATCACTTTAGTTGGAAGGAGCATATTCCTTGGTATGGCTGTTTCTAATCTTTTCTGATATTGTGGACCTTTTATTACCCTCTAGAAAAATGTGTATATGCAGGTATGCATGCCCTTGCTTGCCGTTCCATGGGCACATAAATATTCGGAAAACCACTCTTTTTTTCTTTACATGTTTAGCCGTTTCTCATAACTGATGGGGTAGACATGCAAGACGGTGGGGCTGATGTCTCTGCTCTGTGAATATCTTCCCCGTGTTTACCGATTCTTCCTGATCTGTTATGAGGGAAGGGTAGTCGCAATCATTTGCTGGGTATATTCATGTATTATAAGGTAATTGGTTGACAACAGAAGGTGGCTGCATACGTAGGCCTCTGCCATATGCACAGAAGATCCAATAAAGATCCAGGTTCCTGGCTTTGCCTGGCCCAGTCCTGGCTGTGGCAGGTATTTGGGGAATGAGCAGGTGGATGGAAGATCTCTGTCCTTCTGCCTTCTAAGTAGATGAAAATAAGTATCTTTTTTAAAAAGCTAAAAAAAAATAAGGTAATTAGCAAGTTATTTGTCAAATCAATCTGTAAAGTTTTTTGTTTAGGGTAGCAGTTTGAAGGAGGCCTGTTTTTTTCTGCTTTGTTTTCTGCCATTTCATCAGTGTTCTGAGTAGTGACTGTGGATCATAGTCCACAGTCCTGGAATTAGGAATTTTCATTCTGGGAAGTTAACTGGACCAAGAGGAAGTAAAATGGTCCGTGTGGATACTTAGCCTTGTCAAACTTAACAGGCTCAAGAAATGACTGCTATGGACCTACCATGTTGTAAGGATGCCTGTTTTACAGGGAAAGCAGGAATTCTTAGATTTTGGTTGCATTAAAACCTGTATACAATTTTCAACCCTACTTTTTACTGGTTTCCATTAGTTGTATACATGAAACCTGAAAATGAGCTCTTTTTTTTTTTTCTTAAGGCTGGCCAACTGTTAACATTCTGCTTCATGCATGAATTGCATCTTTTGTGTCTGGGTTATTGGTGCTAAGATTTAAAATCAGGACTGTTTTGGTGTTGAAAAAAACTGACTTCTTTTATCTCTGAAATCACCCAGTAGGAAAAACATGCCATTCAAAGTAGTGTTCATGTTTTTTTGACAGACGGACGGACAGACAGACAGACGTGTTAGCGCTTTCCCAACAAACTAAAGCCTCTGTTTAATACGATTCCTCCTCACAGGAGCAGAAATATGTGTTTTGACAAAGCAGTTTCTTGGTCTAGAATTCTTTTGTCTGGGCTCCCTCTTGCAGAACGGGTGTTCCCTGCTGGGCAGTGAGTGAGGCTGGCGGGGTTGAGGGTCAGCATCTCCAGGCCTCCAGACCTGGGGAGCAGCAGCCCCCAATAGAATGCACCAGGAAGACCACAGTGTCCCCCCACCAGGACCCCAACAGGGGCTGTGCTCCAAGGCCCAAAAAGCACCCTGCTTGCTGTAGCTTCCTGTTGGATCCTGGATCACAGGACTTTGGATTCTGTTTCACAGTAGGTATGAAGTTAAACACATTCAAAGCATTCATTTGGTCCTCTCTTCTATATTTTTATTTATTTGAGAGAGAGAGAGAGAGAGAGAGAGAGAGAGAGAGAGAATGCTCCCACCCTCTGGTTTACTCCCCAAGATACCTGCAAAGGCCAGGGCTGGGGCTGGGCAGGGCAGGGCAGGGCAGGGCAGGAGCTTCCCCGCAGGGTCTTTCATTAGCAAACAGGAAGCTGGAATCAGGAGCTAGAGCTGATTTTTTTAAAATTTTTAAAAAATAATTATTTATTTATTTATTTGAAAGGCAGAGATGCTGAGATACAGAGAGAGGGGGAGAGACAGGGCAGGGTGGAGGGAAGGGGTCTTTTAGCTGCTGATTTACTAACCAAATGGCCGAAGGCAGAAGTCAGGAGCTTTATCCAGGTTTGCTGCTTTCCTAGGCACATCAGCAGGGAACTGGATCGGAAGTGGAGCAGCTGGGACTGGGACTGGCATTCATAAGGGATGTGGGTGTCCTAATCAGTAGCTCCACCCACTGCAGTGAGGGACATGGCCATCTTGCCCACCGGGAGAGGCCCCCTCTGGTCTTTCCTGTGAGCAGCTGTCCTTCCAAAACAGACCTCAGCATTTCACTTTAAAACCATGTGGGCTGGCGTGAGGCATTTGCCACTGCTCTTGTTCTTGTTTTTGTCCCATGTTATACAACTTGTTTTTCTAGAATTCTCCAAGCTTTTGTACACTGAAGAAAGAATCTGAGCATCAAAATTTTAATCCTGATTACATTCCATCTCAAATCCAGCTCAACTTCAAAGACACTTGCTCAGTTGTAAGGTGTAGTGTGCTAAATTGAAAACCATGTTGCTGTAAGAGTCTTCGTTGCCGAGGCCCAGGTGTAGTGGCTTCCCTCTGGCTTGTTTTGGAGCTGATCTGATCTGCATGAACATTTTCTTCCCCTTTTGCTTGACTATATCAGATGATGGCATTTGTCTTTTTTTTAAGGATTTATTTATTTACTTGAAAATCTGAGTTATAGAAAGGGAGAAACACACACACACTGACCAAACTTCCATCCACTAGTTCACTTCTGAGATGGCCATAGTGGCCAGGGCCGGGCCAGGCCGGAGCCAGGTGCTTCATCCAGGTCTCCCAAATGGGTGGCATGGGTCCAAATACTTGGGCCATCTTCTGCTGCTTCCCTGAGCCATTATTAGGGAGCTGGATCGGAAGTAGAGCAGCCGGAACATGAACTGGAGCCATATGGGATGCCAGCACCCCAGGCAATGGCTTTACCTGCTGTGTGACAATGTCGGCCACATTTATTTTAAAGGATTTATTTATTGATTTGAAAGTTACAGTTACGGAAAGAGGGGGAGAGTGAATGAGCATATGATGATATGTTTAGAAACCATATTTCCAGGGGCTGGCACTGTTGGGTAGTGGGTAAAGCTGCCACCTGTGGTGCTGGCATCCCATATGGGTGCCGGTTCAAGACCCAGCTACTCTACTTCCAATCCAGCTCTCTGCTATGGCCTGGGAAAGCAGTAGAAGATGGCCCAAGTCCTTGGGCCCCTGCACCCACATGGGAAGACCTGGAGGAGGCTCCTGGCTCCTGGCTTTGGATCGGCAAAGCTCTGCTGTTGCGGCCATCTGGGGGGAGTGAACCAGCAAATGGAAGACTTCTCTCTTTCTCTCTGCCTCTGCCTCTGCCTCTCCTCTCTCTGTGTAGCTGTGACTTTCACGAAAAATAAATAAAACTTAAAAAAAAAAAGAAACCATATTTCTGGGGCCAGTGTGGTGTATCAGGTAAAGCCCCTGCTTGCAATGCTGGCATCCTATGTTGGCACTGGTTCAAGTCCCAGCTGCTCCACTTCTGATCCAGCTACCTGCTAATGCTCCTGGGAAAGCAGCAGAAGATGGTCCAAGTCCTTGGGCCCCTAGAAGCTCCTGGCTCCTGGCTTTGGATCAGCCCAGTTCCAGCCATTGTGGCTATTTGGGGAGTGAAGCTGCAGATGGAAGATCTCTGTCTCTGTAACTCTGCCTTTCCAATAGATAAATCAATCTTAAAAAAAAAAAAAATCATGTTTCTAACACTGATATCAGAGAACTTCTAAGTGGCTTGCATCAGTGAATGAGTTTATCACTTGAGAGCTTCTGAGCATCTGTCATGGGGCTAGTTTCTGGAGATCCAGAGACGAATGAGATGGAAGAGAGCGATGAAGAAGAGGAGGCCATCCCCAGACAGTGTGGGGCCTCACGTGCGAGCACAGGTTGTAAGAGTAGCAGTGGGGGTCTCTCCTCCTTGAGGAGCTCCTGTTTTTGCTGATTAGAGAAGCAGTACAGATGAGCTGCGTGCAGGTTGAGTGGGGACATTGCTGTCACAAGCACAGAGGCCCTGAGTGGCCTCATGGGTGCTGGGCAACGCGGGCACTGAGGGCTTGATGTCAGGTGGCTGGCATCAAGAGGCTTCGGGTCTGTTAAAGGCCTTTATGCCTCATATGGCATAGAAAAGGGATTTCATTCTGACCTACAAAATTGTCCAGGAATGATGCTGTCATTCCACTGAATAAACTTCAGGCTTACTGAATGAATAGGCATTTAATGTTTAAAATATTTATCTTCATTCTTTGAAAGGCAGACACAAACACACCCACACCCACACCCACACCTCCCTCCCCCACAGACAGACAGACAGACAGGGAGAGGTCTTGCATCTGCTAGTTTATTCCCCAAATGCCCACAACAGCCAGGGCTCGGCGAGGCTGAAAGCAGGAGCCTGGAACTCCATCTGACTCTTGCTGTGAGTGGCAAGGGACCCAGGTACTTGAACCATCACCTTCTGCTTCTGCTAGTGTTCATTAGCAGCAAGCTGGATTGGAAGTGGAGCTGGGACTTGAACCAGGCACTCCAGTGTGGGGTGTGGGCATCAGGAGTGGCACCTTAACCACTGTGCCCAACGCTCAGGCCATGTGACTAGTTTTGAGCTCACAAAGTTGCTATTTAGAAAGCCAAACAGCCACTCTTTCCAGTTCCTGCTACAGTCGAAGTTCAGGGAGTCAAGTAAGATGTTAAGAATATGCAATTAGGATTGAAAGACAGGCCATAAATCCTAAATTTGTTATTGTAGAGCTCATGTACTTTCCATAGTACCACGTTGCTGCCCTGAATTGAAGGCAATTCATGAGACCTGACCACTTTTCTCCCTACAGTGCAAGTCGCTTCCTTCAGCAGAGAGACTGTGTTCTGGTCAGATCCTAACAGTGAAGAAATTTAAACAGGTGGAGGGACAAGGGGGCTTCAAACACATCATAGAAAAAAGCAACCTTTTGGTGCAAAAAAAAAAAAAAAATGAAATCTATGCAAGATATACATTCTCTCTCTCTCTCTCAAGAAAAGATTTACTTATTAATTAGAATCACAGAGCAATACAGAGAGGGGAAGAGATATAAATCTTCCACTTGCTGATCCGAATGGATGAAACAATAGGGTTGGAGGGTTGGGCCAGGTAGAAGCTGTGGAATTCCGTCCAGGTCTATCACATGGGTTTCAGGGACCCAATTATTTGGACCATCCTCTTCTTCCTTCCCAGGTACATTAGCAGGGAGGTGGATCAGAAGCAGAGCAGCTGGGACTTGAACTGGTGCTGCAATTTGGGCTGCTGGCTTAGCCCACTGAGCCACAACGCTGGCCCATACACTTTTTCTTGTTAAAGATTTCTGATAGGGCTGGTGCTGTGGCATAGCAGATGAAGCTGATGCTCATGACACCTGCACCCCATATGGGCACTGGTTTATGTCCCAGCTGCTCCACTCCCCATCCAGCTTCCTGTAATATCCTAGGAAAAGCAACAGCAGATGGCCTGAGTGTTTGGGCCCGTGCACCCACGTGGGAGGCTGTTGTGACCATCTTGGGAGTGAATCATCAGATGGAAGATCTCTCCCTCCCTCCCTCTCTAGCTCTGACTTTCAAATACATCTTTAGAAAAAAAAAAATTTCTTACAGGATTAGATTCATTCTCAGGAAACAAAAAATCATTTTGGTCATGTGATGCCCTGAATGGTTTTTCACCTTTTTGCTTTTGCCCATTGTCTTAGAAATACCCCTCAAATCCAGGGATGAAGCCGTGGTAGGCAGACGTGTGAGTGGAGCTAGAACTGGTGCTGTTGTAAGAGAAATAACACCTGTGTCTTTTTTTGTGCTGTGATTTTTCGCTGCATACTTAGAATTGACCAGAATCTGTTCTGCTTTTGATCACTAGAGTTTTAGAATTCTGTTAAGTTTTTGAGAGTTTATAATGTTACTTTTTCATATATAAGGTTACATAGAGGTGCACATATGAAATACGATGACGCCCAAGTTAGGTGAATTGTCTAGTTAATTGTACTGTGCCAGTGGGTTTCTTGCACAGTAGATTATGTAAACTGTCGCCACTGGAGGAAGCTGGGAGTGGGGAATGTGGATCTTTGCATGATTTTGGCAGCTGCTTATGAGTTTGTAGTTGTTTCAAAACAAAAAGTAAAAGGAAAGTAATTAGAATATGTCAGTACATTTAGTATTAAGGAAATCAGATATTAGCCTTAGACTGGAAACAATTTGTTGTGACTAAATCAAAGCACAAATCACATACTCATGGTTCACTCGCTCACCAGGTATTTTTGGAGTGTTTTCATTGGTGCCAGGCCCCATTTTGGATGCAGAGTGGAGGAGCTGTGCCTCCCTGAGAGGAGTTAACCAGAAACTGCCTCCTGCCTTTGTTTCTGGTTTACAGTGCTGGGCTGCTTAACTCCAGGTGCAAGGGTTTCATGTGTATGTGTTTGCTTTCTGCGAAGGGGTCCTCAGTGTTCATCAGATTTCCAAAGGTTGAGGGACTACTGCTTTGGATGATTGCTTCTCTTGCCTGGGTTTGGAGAAGGAATTTCATCACACAGGGCAGCCTCTGGCAGGCTGAACCTACTGCCTCCTGAGTCATTGTCTTTGGGAAACTTGTCTGTATGTCTCCTTGGTTGACTGAAAGCAAAGGTGTTGGATACTTAGAAAAAACTATTTCCTAAACAAGACTATTTCCAGCCGTGGAACTGATCACGTTAGCTGTGATTTCGGGGGTGGGCAATGCACCCTGTAAAGCTTATGTGAATAAAGAAACGTCTCATGTTTCTGAAGAGGCATTTGCATGGTGTATGCTGGACCCCTGTGGGCACTGCCTCCTCCAGCCCAAGTGGCCAGCTTGCTGGATGCATCTCTTACCCCCTCCTCCCCGACTGTGCAGGCTTTGTGCAGGACAAGCAGGAAGTTCGCAGTGCTTCACACGCTCTTGCCTCTCTGTGCAGCTGACACAGCTGTGTGGTTTTTCTCTCAAAGAGAAAGAGAATCAGTGTGGAACTTGAATCGGGTCTACCTTGCCCTGCGACTTGCAGATGTGCCTCTTGCTGACAGGTGGCACAAATGACAGGATTGCATTTTAAAGGGCCGAGCTGCTCTCGTAGAATGAGGGGTTTCATGTGAGAGAAGCGCATTTTGGGCTATAGCACATCTGGTGAGAATTTAGCCAGGTAGCTTCCCAGCAGCCTCCCGTCTCTGATCCTTGGCTCTTTGGCTGAGGGCTGAACTCACTGGTGTTCTTCCCTCAGCACCCGTAGGGTATGGCGTCCTGGACGGTTCAGGGATTTTCTTGTTCAGGGATTTTCTTGTTTGGAGATCTTTGTGTTGAAGCACTGTTTGTACTGCACAGGTGGTATTCACCCAGGAATGCATGGGAACTCCCCACACTGAGCAAAGAAGCCTGCTGCCAGCGTACTTCGTGCTGCTTTGTCTTAAAAATCCTCACAGTCCTCAACTGGCTCTGCCTCCTGTGTGAGTTACTCCTCTCTCAGCAAACGGCTTGCGTTTTAAAAGTCTGAGAGTTACATTTTGCTTAAGTAGCTAATTTTTGGGATGGGGAACATTTTCTTTCTGTAAATGGGAACCAAGATCAGCAAACAGCAATGTGAATTGAATTAATTTGTGTTCACATTGTAATTTCTGTGAGCTTGTTTGGAGGGCTTTCTCTGTGAGTGCTTTACATGTTTAGCTGTGAACATGTCCAGCCGTGAACATACCCAATGCAGACTGAGGAGATGTCCGGGAATTCTGCACAGTCTCTTGAATGCATGGATTCTTAAAAAACAAATAAACAAAATACCCCCCCCCTTTTTCTTTTTCAAAGCTATTAAAGCGGTAGAAAGAGAGAATGCTCCCACTTACTGGTTCACTCTCCACAATGGTTATGCATACCAATGACAAAAAGTATGCCATATCCAGTTCCAAGTGGATTCTGTTTGCTGCTTTATCCACAGGAAATGGTTAATGTCCCAAATTGTTGGGGGAGAAAATTTAAAAATAGCTGAAGTAGATGTTCAAAAATATTTTCATCTATGTGCAAAAGTCATTGCATTTCTTTTTATCAAAAAATTTTTGTGCATTATTTCTTTAAAGGCAGAGAAAGAGAGAAGGGGAGAGGGAGAGGGAGAGAGAGAATCTTCTATCTGCTAGTTCACTTCCCAAAAGGCTGCAATGTCCAGGGCTGGGCCAGGCCTAAGTCAAGAACCCAGAATTCTGTCTGGGTCTCCCACGTAGATGCAGGGGCCCAAACACTTGGGATATCTTCTGCTGCTTTCCCAGGTGCACTAGCAGAGAGTTGACTCAGAAGCAGAGTGTCCAGGATTTGAATTGGCCCAAGAGATTTGGTCCCTGTCACCCATGTGTGAACTCTGGGCTCCTGGTTTCAGCTTGGACCTGCCCAGGTCATTGCAACCATTTGAGGAGTGAACCACTGGATGGAAGTTCTCTCTCCCTCTCTCTCTGTCTCTGTCTCTCTCTTTCTGCATCTCCTCCCCATCTTCTTTTTGTAACTCTACCTTTCTAATAAATAACTAGATCTTAAAAAAAAAAAAAGGTGTGAGTGGGTGAGTTTGTGGCATAGCAGGTTAAGCAGCCACCTGTGAATGCTGGTATCCCATATTGGCACCTGTTCAAGTCCTGGATGCCCCACTTCTGATCATTTCCCTGCTAATGCATCTGGGAAAGCAGTGGAAGATGGCCCAAGTGCTTGGGCCCCTGAGCCCATGTGGGAGAACAGGATGAAGCTCCTAATTCCTGGCTTTGGCCTGGCCCAGCCCTGGCTGTTGTAGCCATTTGGAGAATGAACCAGCAGATGGAAGACTTCTCTCTCTGTAACTCTACCTTTCAAAGAAATAAATGTGAAAATCTTAAAAAAAAAAAAAAAAAAAAAAAGGTCAGGGGCTGCTGCTGTGGCATAGCAGGTAAAGCCACTGCCTATGGTGCTGGCATCCCATATGGACACTGGTTCGAGCTCCGGCTGCTCCTCTTCCAATCCAGCTCTCTGCTATGGCCTGGGAAAGCAGTAGAAGATGGTCCAAGTCCTTGTGCCCCTGTACCTGCATGGGAGATGCGCAGAAAACTTCTGTCTCCTGGCTTTGGACCACCTAGCTCTGGCCATTGTGGCCATTTGGGGAGTGAGCCAGTGGATGGAAGACCCCTCTCTCTGCTTCTGCCTCTCTAATGCTGCCTTTCAAATAAATAAATAAATCTTTTTTAAAAAAAGGCCAAAGATATACACAGATTTTCCATGGGGAGGATAAACAGATAACAAATAAGCAATGAAGATGTTTAGCATCATTAGAGGAATGCAAATTAAAATCATGATGAGATACTTTTACATACTTCTCAGAATGACACAAATAGAAAAAAAGATAACAAATGCAGTGATAATACTGAAAAACTGGATCATTCCAGCATTGCTGGTACAACTACTCTGGAAAATAGTTTTGTGCTTTCATTTAAAAATAGTTTGTTACATGACTTAGAAATTGCACCTGATAGACATTTATTTCAGAGAGGAGAGACTTTACATGGTGTTGATAGCAGTGTTATTTTTAAGATGAAAACTGGAAAGTACCCAAATGTCTGTCAGTGGTTGAGCAAACTGTGGTACATCCATATCATGGGACAATAGTAATAAAAAAGAACAAACTGTTGTTACACAGAACAACATAGATGAACCACAAGGAAAGTAGGTTGAATGAAGAAAACAGTCAACTTCAAAAGGGAATGTACCATTTCTATAAAAAGGGAATTCCATTTCTATAAAGTTAATGATAGAACCTAATTATAGAGATGGAGCCCAGGTAGGTGTTTATCAGGACAAGGGATAGAGTGGGCCCCAAATTCTGGATTTTCAAAAGCACCAAAGGCATTGTTGTACAACAGGTTAAGCCACTACCTGCGTTGCCTGCATCCCAAGTGGTGCTGCTTCAAGTCCAAGCTGCTCTGCTTCCCATATGGCTCCCTGCTAATGTGCCTGGGAAGACACTGAAGATGACCCAAGTGCTTGGAGCCCTGCCATCCATGTGGGAGACCCAGATGGAGTTCCAGACTCCTGGCTTCAGCCTAGACCAGCAACCATGGTGTTCATTTAGGGAGTAAACCAGCAAACTGAAGACCTCTCTATCACTCTTTGACTTTCAAATAAGTAAATAAACCTTTAAAAATTGTTTTCTATTTAGAGTAATTTAATAAGAAACAGATATTTTAAATCCAGTTAAGCAAAGATTGCTATTGATTTTGCTTAGCAATGTTTTCCTTTGATTAAAAAGTAAAAAGGTACTACTAAGAAGGAGTTAGAAAGTTCTTCATTTTTTGTCACTTGGATTTCTGCAGTAGACATTGCTGCTGTCTACTGAAAGGGGGCAGGCAGGGAGAGAACCTCAGAACACACTAGTGTTGCTTCGTTGTAAAGCCATTCTTCTAGGCATTGTGAATTCCCTTCAGCACAATCAATAGGAAAGACACATAGGTGACACTGGAAAGTTCCTCTCTGGTCCCTTCACCTTGCAGGCACTAACCTGACCCAGCTCGAGACCTTGCCTTCAGATCAGATTGGACCCGGCTGAGCGTCTGTCATTCGATAAGCTCCAGGTATCTGAAGCACCCTGCAAGAACCTGGAGGTTTCTCGGGTATCCAGGTTACATGCTTGGTTAGATAAACCCATTCTAATTTCCTTAGCACCATTATTTCTCCATTCACTCATGTAAGAAAAAAGAGTTTAAAGAGCTCTGAGTCTTTTTCAGATAGTACAGGTTAACATAAAATTTGTTTTGAAAAAAATATGACAGAATTCAGAACACTTAGGGAGCTCATAATGTTTGCTTAGATCGTTCTGTGTCTCTGTGTTGAAAGATATCAGACAAATCAGATCCTAATTTCATAGCTGGCTAAACTTGAACACACAGAAGGTGACTTGCTGATGACCAAATGGGGAATCTTATGGAAAACCAGGCTCTGACCTCTGGTCTTTTACTCCTGAACTTCTTTTTAATTTTTTTTTTTATTTGGGAAAGAGACAGAGAGAGAGAGAGAGAGAAATGAGCAAGCTCCCATTTGCTGGTTCACTCCCCAAATGCTCACAACAGCTGAAACTGGGCCAGGTGGAGTTAGTGAGGAACCCAATGCAGGTCTCCCATGTGGGTGGCAGGGACTCAAATACTTGAGCCATCACTTGCTGCCTTCCAGTGTGCACATTGTGAAGAATCTGGAATTTGGAGCATAACCCAGAAATCCAATCCAGGCTCTCTGATATGATACGCAGATATCCTAAGCAGTGTGTTAACACTGCAGAGCTTAAACATTGTGCTGAGCCGCAGCCCCAACTCTTGGATTTTTTGTAATCTAATGATTAAAATCACAGGGGTAACCTGAATTAAAAACAATGTGTAGAAGGTCACTCACTTTAATTTCAACTGTAAGTGCTCTCTGGAGTATGAGATGCTGTTGTGTTATAAGGAAATGAGGCAGGATTCAGCCACCCTACAAAAGGACAGGGGAAAACTAGATGTCATTTTAGAGATTGGCAAACTTAAATCTCAGAGCATTGTGAAGAAAAGGGTCCATATTCAGGGCCAGTGTTGTGGTGCAGTGGGTTAAGGCACTGCCTGTGATGGCTACCTCCCGTACTGCAGTGCCGATTCAAGTCCCAGTTGCTCTGTTTCTGATCCAGCTGCTAATGTGCCTGGTAAAGCAGCAGATGATGGCCCAAGTTCTTGGGACCCTGCCATCCATGTGGGAGACCATGGTGGAGCTCCAGGCTCCTTGTGGCCATCTGGGAATGAACCAGTGGATGGATCAGTTTCTCTCTGTTCTCCTCTCTCCCCCAGCCTTTCATATAAATAAAGTAAATCTTAAAAAAAGAGTAAAGGTCCATGTTCAAATGTGTTTTTGTAATAATATTTAGAAAAAAGGCAAATAGAGATTTTTAGGAAGGTGGCATACATGATCACCAGCAAAGTTTGAGCATTCTGTTGGATGTGCAGGTAGCAGCACTGAAGTATTAACACAACCTTTAGAACAATGCTTCTCACTCATAATGGGTATTTTTATAATACCCTTTTATGTATCCTGAAATGGGAATTTCATAGGCAATATAACCCACATCTATATACACAGTTTTAAAAAATCAGTATAATGCCCTAACTATAATGTAAGGGGAAATGAAAGTCATTTATAATGTTTCATACTCATTGCTCAGGTAAAACTGTATTTACTGCAAGACTTAATGAGACTCTTAGATCCATATATGAATGTGGAGTTGCTATGATGAGAAAGCTGATGATTGCAACCTTGTAAGTGGTAGAGAGATCAGAGATGCAATTTTCAGAAATGTACAATTAGTTTTGAAATTTTCTAGTTATTTTATTTATTTGAGAGGGAGAGACAGAAAATTCCTATTGGCTAGTTAACTCCCCGAACATCCACAACACCTGGGGCTGGGCCAGCCTGAAGCCAGAGTCTAAGAACT